CCTGTTTTAATTAAAGCAGATCATAATAAGTATTTCCACGTTCAGAAATATACTGTATGAAACGATTCTGTGTCTAAAAATCTAATCAGTTCCTGCTATTAATTAATATTTCCACTAGATTATATCAAAAAACCTAACAAAATCAATTTTCTCATGACTCATGCGAGGTTTTTCTTTACCTGTTTTATTCTCCTTGTCACGAAATTACTTCACAAATAGTTTGGTTAGTTCGAAATAGTGAAACAATGTGGATATGAAATGATGAATACAGTTTTACGTCCAGTGGCGGAGCCAGGTTAACGTCCGAGGGGGGATTGAGGGAGGGGCGAAATATCTGAGATTGCACGAATTTCTAGCCTAGTTATGGGATTTTTGCCCGAAAAACTCTCTTTCGGGGATGCGAGGGATGGCTCCGCCACTGTTTACGTCCTCTTCTGTTCTAGACTGGTCTGGACGTATAATATAAAAGTATAAGTTTACCCGTCAAAACACCTGATACCACTTTTCCTTATGAAGTACCTACTCACTTATGATTGAAGTAGTTCCTCATGTGAAAAGTTCCATCGCTGCTACTAATGTTGTTTGATTTTTGGGTTTCGTTTTGCGGTTCGAGTCGTTAGTACTTAGTTTACTTATAAATGCGACGAGCGATGTTTTGTGGCCATTAACCACCTTTGTTTTTAAGGTTTTTAACAAGAAGAGTGTGTATCAAACATATAAGTCTCCGTTTACTGTCATGAAAACCGATGGCGCCTCCATACCACCCCTTCTGATTTGCATCTTTGATAGAGGGGAAGCCAGATTGAAAAACCATAGAACAATTTCTCAAGTCTCCAAAATGTATGCATAAATCATATCCATTTTACTTTAAGAATTTGATTCCGCAGACTTTTTGACTTATTCGAAAACAATACGAAGCCGCCATGAATTATTCAGATACTATCGGACAAGTCTTTAGCAGTGAGAGTGTATGCTAGTCGAGTGCAATAAAATATGCTTTTTTGTTTGGTACAATCTAGAAGTATTATTAACAGAACTATACTTTCAGCTGAACTGGCTATTATGTAACATATTGATTCTCGGCAATTATTTTTACAAGAAGTATTATAGATATGACGCAAAATCAGAATTGTTTACATTTCTTGATAAAGGATTTTCGTGGCCTTCATCTTTAATAATAGCTATTTTTGTATCCTGGGAGTAGTCTTCTCAACATACAGGGATTTGGGGCTGTCTTTATGAAATGGCAAATTTGATATAACAACAGACCGTCTAATCTCTGTGGACGTCGAGCATACCTCGTGGAAAGAAAACACACTGCATGGCAATAAAGAGAGCATCTACTGTTTGTAATGACTAAACAACCTTGGTCAGAAAGTATTGTTAATTCTATAGACTCTGTACATGAATACAGATTAATCAAACCAAGTGATCAGACCCAGGTGTGGAAAAATTATTAGCTAGTTTTATTAATCTTATAATCTCTAGTAGACAATCAGTAAATTTGATTTCTTATTTCCACATATATAGTCCGAAACCTGTTGTCTTTTACCAGCCTGTGGAACATATTTTAAAGTTATCGCCTAATGTTAGTGAATGGGAAAGTTGAGATGGTTGGACTACAAATCTCCAATGTGTCAACACTTGACCAATATAATCTTACTATTCATTTTGTTGTAGTAATATTTTAGTTAATTAAGTCTCTTACTCTCTTTGAGTGGAACTGTCTATGGCTTTCATCTTGTTCTATCAATGCTTCAATAGTCTCGTCCATTTCTTTAAGATGAAAATTAAGTATCAACTACAAGATCCTTTACACCATCGACTCAATCCACAAGCTTTCATCTTGTACCATCAATACGTCTATAGCCCCGTCCGTTTCTTTCAGATGCCCTTTGATAACTAAATATCAGCCAGAAGAAAAAATGTAATGTCATCAGGCTGAATATACTGATATGTTATTATTTGAATAGTCTATAGAATAATACACAAATCAGAACAAATCAAATCAACTATTGTCTGAAGCAGTGAAGGAAAAATATAAATCCAGTTATCACTTCTTGATCAGGGCGAATCCATGAAGTTTCGCTTTTCAGTCCATATTCTTAACTGCCAAAATTTACGAAGATACCGAAACTTAAGTAGCGATCCTTCTGGAAAGCCACAAGGGCCAAAATTCTAAATCATTTTCGTAACTGTGGCCTCGTGAAAGTATTTTCGCCATCATGGTTTCCCACCCATCTATAGAAAATATATAATTCTGATTGGATACAAGATTTCTATGAAATGGGATAGTTGAAATTGGAGATAAATATTTTTTCATCAGTTACTTCCCTTGAGATTTTTCAATTCGTCGTCGTCGATGGATGTCGTTCCAGGCAGTGTAAGCTTATTCTTCTAGACATCTGATACCACTTTTCATTATGAAATACTTACTCACTTATGATTGAAATACTTCCTCGTGTGAAAATTTCATTAGCTGCCAATATTTCGTTAATATGTTGTTATGGATTTCACGTTTCGTTTTTACTTGCTTTATTGATATATACCTGTGACAAATGCTGACCCACTCCAGTACCGATTTGTTAAATTGCTATGTTTGAGCCAGCAATGTTATATGTTGTAAAAGAGATGTGGTATTCGCTTTTTTTTCTCGATACATTCCACACAAAAAAAGATAAAACCCGGGGGCATTTATTACAAGGAACAGATTTCGACATAAAGGAAAAGTAAAGAAATGGTGGAGACAATGGGATAACAGTTTTTGACAGCCCCAAGAAACGTCTGATAATGGAGGCATCGTAAACAATATAATCCATTTCCGCTCTGGCTGTGACAGAATAAGGTTTTAAAAAGTTGTTATATTTTGTTTTAGACTATTGTAGATCCTCAGGGTAGATTCTGATGGAATACTAAAAGCTGTAAGAGACAATAGTCTATTGTAAAGTTGTTTTCTGTTGGAATTGTTGAGAGTTTTCAGCCACTGTGAGTAGAGGTTATTTAGTTGTTTGTAAGGAGTAAGGAAGTCGATACCTTGATTTATTAATAAGATAAGAGAAACAGTAGTACGGTTTGCCAGCGATAATCACACTTCCATCAGTTGTTTATAGAACTGAGACATGCAAGCCACAGACAGAGTGATTGTAAATTTATATACTTCCTGAAACACAATAGAGATATACTTAGAATATTACAAAGTAAGTGGGCAAAGGCAATGCAGGGGTGGAGCCAGGTTTACGTCCGAGAGGGGGGGTTGCCCGAATTTCTAACTTAGTTATGAGATTTTTGGGGGACCCCTATGCCCTTCCCCTCTTGGCTCTGCCACTAAGGCCATGGCTGGGTCATGTATGAAACTCGTGATAAGCAGACGCATCTTTTAAACTATGCAATATAAGACCTTAGCTAAGTACAGGTGGTTGGTAGATCACAAACTAAACTTCGCTTCCAATTAACTTATATCTCCCACTAGAGACGAAAGAAATTTCTTCATATATTTGATATTGAACAATACAACTACACGCATAATAGCAAGGTTATTAGTACTGGGTCACACACCTACCAAGGAATTAACCAAGTTCTCCTGTTCGACCTGTTATTCGTTTTGGAGAATGTGATTTGCAGAAAAAGTCGTGCATTTGATGAAGCATTTGGTTGAGTTGTTGGGGCTCCGCATTCATACCTATGCCTTAGATCATTAATTTAGTCCTACTCCTGCATGTCAGTCGAGACATCACATGGAAGTCGCTGGCAGAAAGGCACTAACCAACGGCTAACATCACTCAGAATTACACATCACCAGAGTATCGTCAGTGCAATTCTCAGATACCAGATAATTCTATACTACAGTTTTCCAATTTCATTCTCTAAAAAAAACAACTTTTGACAACTCTGACAATAGTGTGACAAAAGAAGTATTAGGACTAGAATATCACTGAGAAAATTGTGCTGTAAATATTCTATAGATTAAAGTATTGAAGAAGTCTCAGACGCTCTTTGTTTTTCCCATTTTAACCTTTTCTCAGCGATCTTCAACTTGTCAGTGAGTAAGCTAGGTGTCAAAACAATGGCTTCAGATTTCGAGTAGTGTGTAGTATTACATGATAATGAATACAATAGGATCACGGTGAATATTGACATGTTATTGTTACAAATATACAAATAAATCAGAGTTTTACGTCTTGCTTTTCTGTACTATATTGGTGTTTTACCTTGGAGAGGATTCGAACCCACGACAGACAAAGACAAGTTGTATGCATATTACGTAATTTTACAAGGGAAGTGATTTTCCCTCTTTCGAATTTTAGCTTTCGGAGAATCTTTCAGCTGCACAATTTGTTACGATACAGAATTATATTATATGTACTTTATCAACCCTGTGAACATTAGGACGAAAAAACTCTTTTGTATATCAATTTAATAATCTATCAGAAACATGCTGTGCTATTGCATTTCATGGACTTGTTACAATAACACTGTGAATATTAACACAGAATTTATGCTAATATCATCTATTTATTCATATTAATTGTATTAAAACCAATTGTTGTTTGTTATATACAATATATTATATTCAGATACAGCTGTGTTAAACACTGTTAATAATATCTTGAAAATGATTGTACTGGATAGCAGTTCGATTTGAACAATTTTAGATATACGATTTTGGGGATAATTGCCCTTGACGTCAAGAAGGTCAAACTTCTTTTGAGAAAGGAAAAGACACTATATTTCTGATAGGATCTGAATTTTGAAACGGTCTATGTGCTATGAAATTGTCTGTTGTGACAATCGCTTGTTGGACCTGGTTTCCATATACATATATATTCAGTGGTTAACTATATACCTTAGACAAAAAACAAACTTGCTAAGGCATCATAGTACTGATTGCTCAGCTCAATGTATTCTACTGTACCTTTGACAGATTTCCACTATCAAATTGTAAAGACATCATTATGCTGATTATAACCATTTATTTTTCCTTTCAGATGGTGTGAAGGACGATGTCTAAATCCAAAGTAAGTAAACATCAGATTTTAGAAGAACTACAAATTGGTATGGCAGTGAGAAACACTGTTAGAAATATGGCTTACAATCTAGAAAATGTTATCACAAATTTACACGGAATAGTTGGTGATCTTCACGTGTTGGTGACCCAGATTGACAGCGTAGCTGATAAAATAGACCGACCAATCAAGAATGGTTTCAAAAAGCCAGAAAATGGCCTGCGATATATGCTTACTCCAATCAACGGAAGCTCGGAAAGTGTGTCGTCAAAGGGTGTCGTATCTAACAACATACAACATTGGCAGGATCTGATAGAAACTTGTGAGAACCAGGAATTTTCACCAGATTTAGACTGGTCATATCTTGGACTCTCTGAAGATTCGAAAGCCCCGTCTTTCCAACAACCATCGAAACCACAGTTGCAATGTTCGATATTCAATGATAGTGCATGTTTTCCTGCATCCACTAGCCTCCTTGAACCATGTCAAATAACAACATCTACTGACATAGACACTGATAGTATTTGTTCATTAATTGTTGTGCCTTATGACGGCTCTTATGAAAAAGCAGTTGATGATGTTTTGGAAAATTTGGATGGCGAAGATGATGAAAGTGATTTTTCAGATACAGAAACTTCATCAGATGCTCTCACTGCATCCTATACATCATCGACACATTCCAATGAATCGTCAGTTTCTTCTATAGAATACCAAGCTGTATATAATAGACACATGAATCCTTGGACATGCTACAGTTCGGTTGTTAATCCCCTGGATCCCGTGGATATCGGTTCATGTACACTCGATTCTAAGGACTCATTCAATGTGGATGACATTCTCAATGACAATTATCTAGAATCTAAATATTTTGCACATCGACTGGACGAGAATATCTCTAATGTTGTGATTTTCAATCAATAACAAGTGATAACAACAATACTCTACATTTACAATGTTCAGTGGTGTTTTGATGGTTCAGTTATGCCCCACATCAGTAGCTCGCGTCGAGACAAAACTTTTTGAAAACTGATGCATAAAAATACCAAGAACACTTAAAGATATAAAAATACATACAGCATTTTGTATACAGAACGAGTCAATTAGTTGTACCTGTTTCGATTCTCGGTGTGCCACGTCAGTAACATGCTTCTGGACAAAAAGTTTTAGAAACTGCTGCATATAAATACCAAAGATCCGGTATGGAAATTGAGGAACTCTTTAAAATGCAGGCAATTACAAAGTATGAGTGTTAAAAGTTATTTTAAAAAAAAAAAAACAAGGATACAACATTTGACCCCCAACCCTTCACCTTAATCTTCTTACCCAGAATACTATAAGTTTTTGAGAATATAATAAATACATAGTTCATTGTATCATACGTTTATTGAACAACATAATATTTAAATTGTGTAAAACTGGATACCACGGCAGTTGAATCAACGAAGCATATTGTATGCCATAGCGGTTGAAACATCAATCAAATACTATTATAAATAACTCATTGTCTGTATCCATTGTTGAATGAACTCTCTTCTGGTAAAGTAACCATCTCTCATTCGTCCGTTCCAGATACGTTTCATATGACATCCAGCAATGTACCCGAGAAACAAAACCTTTACAGGTAACACCATCAAGGAAATATGCCCTTCAAAGCGACTTTATCTATGTCATTTACTAACTCTCTTGTATCTGTTATCACTTCCGGTTTGAAGTAGCCAACTCTCTTTCTGACATCGTACTCAAGAAACCTAGGCAACTAACGCCTTCTAAAGACTGAGTTCTTTAAAGCGTCTGGATGATTTGGTAAACTGGAAACCATCAACAATGTGAAGATGTCTTCATACTACATTATAAATCTGAAATTATATACAAAATAAAACGATATTCAATGACATTACGTTATAGAAATTCAAGCTGAGAGTCTGTTATTTTATCAATGACCAGTTACATTGTTCTCGATTTTTTTTTATTTGCACATTTTGCCGACTAGTGCTGTATGATAGTACAATATGTTTAATTGAATCAAGTTCCAAGGGAGGCTATCTATATTTTAAAAGAAAATAAGACTACATGAAATGTGAATCAGAATTCCAAGGGAGATTACCACAATTTAAAAGGAAAATAAGACCACATTAAATATCACTCCTACCTTATTCATAATGTGTTTTATTCCTCGATGGTGACTGTAGAATTCTAGTGACGTCATTAGAGTTTCTGTTTGATTATCCAGACATCTGAGAAAATAATCCCAGCATGCCTGTTTTAAATCTTTCATACCATATTCTACTGCGGCACAGAATAATCCTGGAAAAACAATGAATAAAATTTCATGAAAATAGAATACAGTGGAAATATTGACAATTATTTGAAGTGAACTTGGGATTACGATCTGTGCTAATGAAAGAGTGCACTCCACGAGGTTTACAATGAGTGAAGTATTGCTCTGACAGCAGCATTTTGATTTCCATTCGTCATGGGATATTAGGCGACTAGTGTCTGCTAAAAATGGATTTTTTACATACCTATCACTGACGTCACATCTGCCCTAATTTTTCCACAATGAATGAAACTAATAAATCTTCTAAAAATATCTTCTTCATAGTTCATGACCTCTAACACCAGTTTACCCTTGAACTTATCACCTTTGACCTTCTTAGCCTTGACCTCCTTCTGTTTCTGTAGAATCATCTGATAGAAAACACGACTTCTGGTGGCTAAAATGGCCTTGACCCCATAAACTGGTGTTTTATTTTCACCAACGAGAAATACAACATCACATAATTCTGGCATTGATAAAATATAATCTAAACTGTCACATAACGACTCTTGACTTTTAAATACCATTGTTTCTGATGCTCGTTTCCGACATTTTGTTTCATTGACTCTGACCTTTACTGACCCACATTCACTGCTGTCACAAGAATCATATCCAGAGGAATGGCTTTCTGTAAAATAGCAAAAATATAAAATATATTGTAGATGAATGACATAAATACGAATATTTGATATCAATCTCAATCAAGTTATTTTAACTCAAAGGAATTGATCTTCCACATTGTGTAGCCAACCAAGAAAGTAGCCTACGCACAGCCGTGTACCAGTTCAGGAAAAAAAAACAATTTTTAGTCCACTCCCAAGAAAAGTACAAATTAAAGAAAAAAACATACCATCTGAATCTGAAAAACAATCTTCTGTTTCAAGTTGATCATATTTAGTTAAATTAACTGATGATGTACAGGACTCCATTTTATATAAAACTAGATAGAAAGTATAGAAAACACTAAATAGTACAGAAAACACTAGATAATTCAGCTGACACTTGATAGATAACACTTGGTTTTTGTCAGGAGAACAGGTTGAGAATGATTCTAAATTCAGAAATCTGAACTATATATAAAATCGGGTGTCAAAGGTCACACGTGACATAGTGATCTAGTCGAGTGACAAGATTCATCACTAAGAAGGTCGGAGGTCAGAAAATATTTTAATTAATTGACATTGATTAGCATGTTGTTTTAAATCAGATCACGTGACTCATTAGTGTTAATCTGGTGGTAGATGAAGATTATCTAAGAATGGTCACGTGATATTTAAATAGTAATTATATTAGTGTACAATAAATATTGAAATGTCAATATAAACACCTGATATTAATGGTAATAATAACAATATTTTCAGTTTTTAACATATTTTAACATAATGAACGGTTACCAAAATTTCAAGAAATCGAGAGTACACTTTACTTCATAATCATCAGATTTCAATTAGTTAGAGTAAAAGTAAAAAATGTCCCAAAAAAAAATCAGTTTTTTAAAACTTTTAACATATTTTATATTTTATCAATGTGAAAATGTAAATAAATATATTTTTAATTCATAATCTTCACAAAACCAGGAGATCCTTTGGATCAAAAAACTTCTTACTGGCATGGTAATTGTAGGTGGAAATATATTTTTTTGATGAATATAAAATACAATTTCTTTAATTAAAACTTTGTGTCAAATAGTTGTTTTCTCAAAAGCTTAGTTTTAGCATTTGTTTTAAACTGCATGTCGATATCGTGTAAATCGGACCCGATCAACTACTCTAACTTTTATCTCGAGATTCCGTCTGGTTTTACCAACTACAGTTTATGGCATATTTATTTGAATATTCTTTTCTAAATATTGGACAGGTTAATTTTGTAATGTTTTAATGTCTGTATTTTGCGAGGATTGTAATAACGTGTATTTTTTGTTGAAGCTAATGAGGTGTTATAGACGATTGTTGGTATAGATACAAAAGTTACAACACTTCATTAGTAATATTTATACTAGTTAACAATATAATATGATATTAGTGCCATTAGTTAAACTGTCCACTGATTAGTAAAAACAACCATTATGTTATACATTGTAATACAAGTAAAGCTAATATCAAGATTATAATATTGACTGTAACTTCATTAGTTAATCTACTAATTAGTCACGTGACTTTAACTAATCTACTGACACTTACTGTACTAATTAGTTACGTGACATCATTAATAACATCATATAATCAATGTCACTGTGGGGAATTTATTTATATTATAAAACTTGTGATTTTACTCACTATTGTCGATCTGGTTTAATTGGCTTTACACTTTATGTGTGAAAGATTGAAAATAAATCCTGGACCACAGCCTAATACAACTAAGAATTTGTAAACTTTATTCCATTTTTCAAGCCGCAGTGGTTCAATGAGTTAGACGCTTGCTTGCTAACCTGAGGCACCAGGTTTCGATCTCAGCATAGATCCAGATAATACCTTCGGATTTTTCAAGCCGGAATCCACTTGTAATACATGGACTGAAAGCGTTTATTCGTTCAGTAGGGAAATTAAAACGAGGCCCTATGTGCTACAGGCTTTGGTGTTAAAGGCCCCTCAACAGTTGGAAATAAATAAAGAGTAAGTTAATGTCACTGTTTGGGAAAAAATTCCCTCTCTTTGCATGGCCTTAAACTCCATTCATTAAAGATTGACCTATATTTCTTCAAAACTTAAATATATTTTGAATTGCCTCCCTTGAACATTTGACAAGGAAAGCCATTATTTAGATGACTGATTCGTTAAATTCAGGTCAACTTGACATATTACTCAATTATTAGTCTTTCAGTCATCATCATCATCATTAATCAACCGAATAATCATTAGTTTGCAGAATACTTTAATATGACCTGTACATGTCCGACATTTCCACCTTAACCTTGAAGTAACAAAACCTTGGGAGAATGTTGGACAAAACGTGGGAGAATGTAGAACAAAACCTTGGGAGAATGTAATGTACACTTTTACATTTAACGTAAGCACCTATACCCGTACTTTAAAAGTGTATGTTCTTATCGCTATCTAACACCAAGCAACAATGGTAAATTTATCGGGTCCTATTTCTAAATAATGATACAAGACCAAAAGTAAAAATAAGGGTAAACCCAAAGCAAAACAAATTTTGAGGATTACTTCAATAACAATTTTGTTGTGTTGCTGTGCAACAGCAATTATATACAGTCCGAGACACGCCTTAAAATATGACTGCTAATTCAATTCTCAAATTTCCATTTTAAATCAGATTATCGGTTTGGTTTCAATATCCACTTTCTAATTCAAATAATTACTTTTCACGCCTTTCTTAAAAGTGTATTATTGACATGTGTCACTTTGTAAGGAATTAAAGAATTTAAAAAAGGTTATTGAAATTAATGAAATAGTTGATATTGATTTCTAATTTATAACAGTATAGCCAGTCGTATAAAATACCCCAATTATTAGACGAACGTAACAGATTTTATCCTTTCTTCTTGCAACATACATAGTTAAACAGGTAAGACGTTTATATCTAAAGTACAACTCTAAATCTTGCTGTTATACACGGAACACGATATTTTGGTATAATATTCCAAAAATTTATTGTAAACACCGTTTCAACAATTTACATTGTCAGCATCATTTTCACCTGATGTGAATTATTGAAACGCTGTGTAAAATGGAACTCAGTAGTAGGATACCATAATATTGTGTTCAGCTCTAAACTTGTTCTCTACAACCCATAAATGTCGCTTATGGATGAAGGAATAAATCTTATCGACCTTTACCTGCATGATTATTGCCGGATCACTGGTTACAAGTCGAAACGTTACAGACCCTTACTATAAGCCTCTGATCATCTTCGTCTTCGTGAAAGTTTGTAAATGCAGCGATTTGATTGGATTGTAAGCTATCATCACCAGTCTCTGATAGATATTATTGAAGTATTATTGTAATTTGTCTGGTCAGTTGTCGCTGATCAGCACGTTATCAACCAGTACCAGCCTCTGATGAACATTTTTGGCGGTTAATAGGACTAGTAGTAGTTCCAGGCGTCACAAGTCCACACATTTCTGACCATTTCGTCGGTCATTGGTTACTGACCATTACAGGCCTCTAATAGACATGTCAGTTATTAAGAATAGCAAGATCAGTAGTCACAAGTCTGAATCGTACTGATCTCTACCAGTCTCACATTTCATGGTTAATGGGATGTGTAAGGTTAACGGACAATAATCCAAATCTTAAAATACCCTCATCAGATTCTGATAGATAGATTCTGATAGACAGTTATAAGAAAGTGTTGAGTCAGAAAACAGAGGCTTTCACAGAATTGATAATCACTATCCATATAATCTACGATTTGTTTCAGATAAATATTCAAAATGAAGGCAATGACATGTTTGTTATTATTAGTTGTTGTTGCCATGGTAACAAGTGACCCATGTCCACCACATACACAAAAATGTGATGACCTAGACGATGATGCTGTTTGCGAGTGAGTATATTAATTTGTTAACATATATTTAAATCATTTCTGAAGTCTGAGTTACAGCATATTTCACGGTTTTGTTTCAATATTTCTACAATTAATGTATTAAGCACTATTTTAATAGTGGTATTTCTATATAACTCTACAACTAATGTTTTGGGCACTATTTTAACAATGGTATTTCTATATAACTCTACAACTAATGTTTTGGGCACTATTTTAACAGTGGTATTTCTATATTGCTCTACAACTAATGTTTTGGGCACTATTTTAACAGTGGTATTTCTCTATAACTCTACAACTAATGTTTTGGGCACTATTTTAACAGTGGTATTTCTATATAACTCTACAACTAATGTTTTGGGCACTATTTTAACAATGGTATTTCTATATAACTCTACAACTAATGTTTTGGGCACTATTTTAACAGTGGTATTTCTATATAACTCTACAACTAATGTTTTGGGCACTATTTTAACAATGGTATTTCTATATAACTCTACAATTGATGTATTGAGCACTATTTTAACAGTGATATTTCTATATCACTCTACAATTGATGTATTGAGCACTATTTTAACAGTGGTATTTCTATATCACTCTACAATCGATGTATTGAGCACTATTTTAACAGTGGTATTTCTATATTGCTCTACAAGTGATGTATTGAGCACTATTTTAACAGTGGTATTTCTATATCACTCTACAACTAATGTTTTGAGCACTATTTTAACAGTGGTATTTCTATATCTCTCTACAATTGATGTATTGAGCACTATTTTAACATTTTTTTTTATATGATTCTACAATTGATGTATTGATTTGTAACATCAAACAACTCAACATAGTCAACCATAGTCAATCATCAAATTACGTGCTGAAGACATCTGGATCAAATTTTACCCCATTTAGTTTGTATCAATCAATAACAAAGAATTTGTCCTAACAGAAAAAGACTCGATAGATTTATTATTAACTAATATAATAATATTATTATGATAATTATATACCGCCTTACGCCAATTAACCTATATTTAATAGTTATTATACTCTAATAAACTTCCTTTCTTTATATTGATCTTGATTTCGTTAGTCTTTGTTGTCTTTAGTTTAATTTTTACTATTATCTGGTAGCAGCTGCCCCATAGATCAAGCGTATAATTCCCATCCACAATTCGTTTGTTATTCGGCCAATTGACATAATTAGTGTGTCTTAATTTTAATTTTCAAGCGTTTTCTGGCATCACTGTTGCAAAAGTTGCTTATAATATCTACAGACCACAGTTGTTTGTGAATATTGATGCTATCAGGGTCCCTACAACACATAAATATTTAAGAAATCTTCTCTACAATCGATAATAACTTCAACATTTTTTCTTCAACAGCGAAACCTGTAAAACCACCCACGGCGGTATGGGAAGAATGTGCACAGTCAAATGGACGAAAAATGGTGTTGATGTTGGATGTCATTCAATGTATGGTGTATTGAAGTAAGCCGCTGCTGATGATGAAATCTCAGAATGTTGAATCAGATAAATTGATAGGTCTCATATACACATATATAAACAAATAAATAGAATTAATAGTATTATATCGTTGTGGTTTTCAGTAATGTTGGAGTTCACCTATAGCCAATCAATTGAAATGACATGGAATTGGGTTTAATGTCATTTTTTTTGGTGACCAACTTTTGGGTGGACATGTTGGTCATCGATATTCTATATAACTTATGTATTGAACACTCTTTTAACTGTGGTATTTCTATATCACTCTACAATTGATGTGTTGAGCACTATTTTAACAGTAGTATTTCTATGTTGCTCTACAATTGATGTATTGAGCACTATTTTAACAGTGGTATTTCTATATCGCTCTATATTGATGTATTGAGCACTATTTTAACAGTGGTATTTCTATATCACTCTATAATTGATGTATTGAGCACTATTTTAACAGTAGTATTTCTATGTTGCTCTACAATTGATGTATTGCGCACTATTTTAACAGTGGTATTTCTATATCGCTCTATATTGATGTATTGAGCACTATTTTAACAGTGGTATTTCTATATCGCTCTATATTGATGTATTGAGCACTATTTTAACAGTGGTATTTCTATATCACTCTACAATTGATGTATTGAGCACTATTTGAACAGTGATATTTCTATATCGCTCTACAATTGATGTAGTAAGCACTATTTTAACAGTAGTATTTCTATATCGCTCTACAATTGATGTATTGAGCACTATTTTAACAGTAGTATTTCTATATCGCTCTACAATTGATGTATTGAGCACTATTTTAACAGTAGTATTTCTATATCGCTCTACAATTGATGTATTGAGCACTATTTTAACAGTAGTATTTCTATATCGCTCTACAATTGATGTATTGAGCACTATTTTAACAGTAGTATTTCTATATCGCTCTACAACTGATGTATTGAGCACTATTTTAACAGTGGTATTTCTATATTGCTCTACAATTGATGTAGTAAGCACTATTTTAACAGTAGTATTTCTATATCGCTCTACAATTGATGTATTGAGTACTATTTTAACAGTGGTATTTCTATGTTGCTCTACAATTGATGTAGTAAGCACTATTTTAAAGATGGGTCCCCATATTTTCATTTATGAAAATGAAAATGCTAATACTCATATGAATAGAAAGTAGACGTGTTCTAATGACTTGGAAAAATACCAGTTTGTCTCACCTGTCCATAATAAATTCATGTCCAAATATGAATTCATTCATAATTAGCTAAATTAGAAGAGAATTACCAGCAGAATTCAAAGTGTCTTTTTTTGTTTATCCAGACTGTACATACATAGGCATTTATGATTGGTTAAAACTCTTATTTATATGCAATAAGAACATAATGATATGATTTAGAATACATGATAATTCATTAGAAACACCAATTAATCAAATAATTTGCTTAATTTTATCTAATATATTTCAAGTGTGAAACATGTCGCACTCAAAAGGCGGATCAATCATATTCACATTATAAAATTCTCTAAGCCCTCGAAATACACAAGAGCTGTAAAACCTTGTTAATCTCTTTAAGAACGAACAATATTATATTCCATTATTTATTATATAATAATATATTTCATATGGCAATTTAACATTCTACCCACCTATAAATAGTTATGGGGTTTTAACTTCCTACTCTGCGTTAATACATTGTGTAAGGAGGACAACGTTTATAAAGACAGCGGTATTACCCTTACCCACTTGCTGATGACCCACAGTCGAAAGATCTGTAACGTCCATACTTGTACCACACTGTTCTTCTGTTTATTGTTCCATCTGAACGACTAAACAGTATCTACCTTCATATGAGGTTATCTATATCTAAACCGACACGATCGGACAGTTGTAATTTATCACCAAATGAGAATCGTCTTCTTTCTAGGAGCATAGCTTTGTAGTGGGCATCTGATTCTTTGAAGCCGTCCACAGTGCTGGGATCAGAATGGCGCCTTCTCACATCATAACCCGAGTCTTTGAAAACGTGTTCGACAATCGAATTAGATCCAGTATCAAAATTGGTAATTGGCCGACTAGTACAAGTGTCCCAGTCAGTTACAACTATAGTCGGAATTGGTCTTGCTGAATCTTGGTCCTCAAGATCCTCAGTGTCGTCTTCAGAAGCATCATTTGCACTAAGGGAGATGTGTGGAACAAAACTCTGTCTGTGATTGTAAAGAGGACTGCTAGGGGCACTCCTTGGGTGTTGATTAATGTTACAAGATAAGCCTTTTCGAGGGGAAGAGTCCGAGGTGGTGCCAAAAGAGACGTTTTTGTGATGCTGTATCGAATATCGTATAGGACTCGTTGCTCTGTATATTCTATTTACTGTTGAACCATACAATCGTCTAGGACTGGATTCCAACACATTTGTTCCCCTTTGAGGTTTTTTGGGTTCGTATTTGTGTGTAGTATAAGCGCGTTGGGTCAATCGTGGGCTTAATGGAGAACTTCGAGGTCTTTGAAGCACAGCAGCGGATGATTCTTGTAAAGAAGCTGATTCGTTCACAGTTCTTCGATGCGAAATGCTTATCTGTGAACTGCTTCTAGGTCTAGCTTTGCTCGATGTTACAAAATATGACTCCGGCTTGCTTAGTCTTGGCGATAATATCTTCTGATGCAAGTCTTGACCCTTTGGTGATACCTCTGATGTTTGAATTCTCAGCCTCGGTGCCGGAGACTTTGGTCTGCTTAGTTTCACAAACAAATCTTGAGAAGGACGAGGAGAATCTGGTTTCGCCAACCTTTCCTGTGCTGGTGATAATCTAGTACCGTGATGTTCACTGGAATGGTTATTGCGGGGTGAAAGCGGTCTGGCTTTCGGTAATTTACTGGTTTCTGTCATCATGGGAGATCTGGGTCGTTTATGTCTACCTTGAAGGGTGACGGACGTAGAATGGAGTGTAGAATGTTTTTGTCCACCGCTAATGAGCGCACACTTGTTTGTTGCTGCGTTAGTAATAAGCACATTGGTGCAGTCCGTTATCATTTTTCTGCAGAAGGCTGGTTTAAAATCCTTAGCCGTAGGTGTATCACCATTCGTAGGCGAACCATGAGCACTAGTATTGCAATAACGTTTCATAGAAGTGCCATGATTTAACCTGTTTTCCATATCAGTTATGTTTCCATTGATTGAATTGTCATCTGCCCGGATATCACTGCAGTCTGGTTGTAAAGAGTTCTTCCTTGAATAGTCCTTATTACAATAAGGTTGTATGTGACCTTCAGTCGAACGTCGTCGGTGGTATCCGACATCTTGTAAGGCTTGTTCGATCTCAAAATCAATCCGCTCAAACTTCTCAGATAATTCAAATTCCATATTTTTTTTAAACATTAAGTCACAAAGTCAGATCAATCAAGAGTCATCAAGAGTTGAATATCCACGAATGAACTATCTCCAAGTAAGTTCCAGTTTAAAGCTTTCCTTCGTTTATGGCCCTTAACACAATTATGAATATCCAAAAAAGAAATATAATATATCATGAATATGTTACATAAAGTCCAAATATTAGTCGTTATCACAAGATATAGTCAGTCCATCCTCAGTACACCGCCCTAGTCTACCTAGATTTCTTTACACTACTTACCAAGGGGTAATCCAAAACCAGTCGTGACCCCGGCACAGCTTTAGCTAATCTTCTAAAGAGCTTAATCGTCTCGTTAGACTGTAAACTTCAAACGAGATTATTATGCTGTATCTGATCAAGCGAATAAGGTTTGATAATTTTAATTGTTAAATAGAACGCATGAGCAACATGAGAAATATAATGCGGTTTATGTCATAGCGTTTAAAGGTTCAATGTTTACATAATATCCAAAATCGATAATTATCATTTTCAAGTTTAGATCATCCTGATCAATGAGGTAAATATAGATATTAATAAGATTCCAAAGCCTTTTGATCGCTTAGATTGTAACCAGTTGGATTTCCGTCCACCAAAGTTGAAATCCCAATAATAGTATTATAAAATAACACGGAGTATGATATAATATTTTTTTTAGATAGGTGTATATCGTGTTAAATTATCTACTTAAATTGCTTACGACCAGCGGATTCAAGTAGATCTTTTTATTGCAAGATTATCCATTTAGATTAAATTAAAATAGAACTATCTATTGTGCAATCTTCTGACATGTGATATGCTTTAATTAACATGTACATTAGTTACGTTACAAATCGTTAATGCAGAAGATTATATTTCAAACCTTAAGTGCTCAAACAGACAAATTTATAGTATTAAAGTATTTTTGTGGATTGATCTCGGCGAGTGTAATCGAAGTATGAATTAACGCAGTCTCGCGAATAATGTACGTTTTTTTCATGAATGGTATGGAACTACAATGGCCACGAGTTCGTTCCATGAAAGGCTATAGAACCTAATTCTATACGTATATCAAAATATACTCTAAATATGTATTTCTTAATAAAGGTTAACAACCTTCGACAACTGAAGGCAGATCAAAATATCAGGCTACGTATTCTCGAAACGATCTTAGCGCTAGGATGTTCTAGGTTCTTATCTTCTAACATTGATTCTAGGACATCCTAGCGCTAAGATTGTTTCGAGAATACGAGGCCCGAACTTTACGTTAAAAGTGTCATCTTAACGGAGCAGCCTAGAAATATTACGTTGGATATGACTCTGTATGTTTTTATTTAGTCTCCCACCCACTCTGTTCTCCCTGTAATTACGACAAAAGGGTTCAAATTTACTATCAAAGCGAATTCTCATAACCCTCATTGATACTTGTTTACGCAACATTAAATGTCGCGTTCGTGACTAGGTGTAGCTAATGTAAACACTAGAAATACGATTATGATAAGGAATCATAATAAAATTGTAATTACTCGCAAGTTACTATGTTCATTAAAAATCTCATTACTGTGTTAGAAGTTTTAAAAGTTCTGACGTGGTATCGCTTTTGTAACAAGATCGTTAACTTGTTTTTAACATAAAGTTTTTACAATTGCTAAATTCCCTTTAAAAACTTATGTTTATGTGACCGAATAGAACTATTTTCTATATCAGTATATTATATAAAGGTGGAGACTTTGTGTTTCATAAAGTTTCCGTATAGATTCAGCGATTCCATTTCTGATGCCGAATCAACTATGGGATTTCAAAGAGTAGGAAGAATTTCTTTTGGTTCACAAGAACTGCTCTTAAATATGACATATATATTTTTTATTGAACAGAACTCGATTGGTTAAATATTAAATGACCCTAACATGAGATGCATACCCATTTCGTCAGATCAAGTGAAGTCATTTACTAAGACAACACGAAACAGACCATTCACGGTATGCAGCTACTCACTGTATCAGTTTGAAATGAATTGTTTTCTTAATAAGGTAGACCACTATACCACAATGTAGTTGGAATTTTAACAATTGCTCACTAACAAGAAAATAATAAATATAATAAGTTAATATATGCCTCGAATATTAGTAATCAATAATAATTAATCACATACATTTCTCGCCTTCTTTCACAATTACTGAAGAGCTAATAAACCAAGTTTGGTAACCGATTAATTATATTATTAATTCATTCTTCAAGGAAATATTGTTGATAATAACGCTATGGTTTTATTGTTGTCGTTTGACGTCATCCTACTACATGAGTTGGGGATTCAGGTTTTTCATTATCCGTGCCACAATTGTTTCTGGTCCAAACTCAACCTGTATCGTTTTTTAATGAAGTATTTCGTTCGGTACACAAAACAGAAACCTATTTTATTTTCTACAAAGCATATTCAGGTGGGCAGGGGCGTATGCAGTATAATGCTTGATGTGAGAGGGGTTGGAAAAAAAGGGTTGTCCCTGCCTTGGAACAAAGCATGGAGTGCCCATGAAATTTCACGGGGCTGTGGGGGCATGGCACAATAGCCCACTCTCTAAATTGGTAGCATAATTACAGAATGGTGAAACAAGTAAACCTGGAATTGAAACTCAACGTATCTACATAACAATCCTCAACCATCAGCAAGTCTGATTCCACGAGCACCCTTTCCTGTCATTTAAACTTAAGGTACCCTCACACTATAGCGATCGCACATTGCGTATGGTTGTGAATAAGAATAGCGGTCATAAGTTTTGGAAATTTCATTGTTCGCAACGATACGATCGCTATGGCATGAGTTCACCTTTTGTTTACTTCAACACTGGAAATACGTTTGTTAAGGGAAGCAACTCCTTGATTGATTGGTGCTTGAATTTCGATAAAGCAATAATTTTTATCTTTTTCTATTACATTTGTTGAGATGTAAAAGGATACCAAGGCTTCGTGTGCTACAGATTGTGCACGTTAACGATCCATCGACATTTTAGAATGACAAAAGAGTTGGCTAATGTCACTGGCCTGTCGATATTCTGTCAATGCACAACGTATGTTACATTAGTCAAATCTATAAGACCAACCCAACCCAAAACACCATTTCATTTCATTTACTGTAACTGATCTTTCGTTGTTTGTTGCACACAATATTCTGATATTAGCCGTCAAGTGAAGAATAAACTCGACTTTAACCCTACCACTTCAATCAATCAATAAGCTGACTGGCTCAGACTAAGATTATGAATGATATAATTAGAACTGGCAGGCAAAGGGTTAAAGTAATCCAGTCTTCAAATTATTAAATGCAAAAACTGAAAGAACCCGATTTATCTACCCTATCACATTTGATTCGAGATGATAAAGAGACCCTCAGACCCTATGACATAAACGAATGCATACTTTTCCGTAACAAATCATACCATTCTACTACTAAGAAACTACTGGTCACTCGGATTCCCTTTCGGCCCTCCCACCCCTCCCCCCATTATTTATTTTTCCCCTGGGTCCTACAAAACGATATTGAAGCATTATTGATTTTTCACCATTGGGTAAACCATCATTACTTTTTAGGAAGTTACCAGACAACAAACACAATGTCCCTCTCTGAGTATGCGTCTAAATCCGATTTGATGGACGAAATTTACAATCGTCAAATTCCTTCTATATACGTCGTTATTTGACAACAATAATATTCCTTTAGAGAGATTCCTTTAATGATTCTACGATCACATACCTTATAATTATGAAAAGTCGTAATAAATATTTTACCTGATAAAAATTACGATAATCAACAGTTTTATTGGTTGATTATAACTGGACAGTACGCTGTTAGTGGTCGCGGTTCTCATATCTTTTATCGTAAACGTGACGGTTAGCAGTACACTGGTTGGTTGTAAATAACTCTTGGATGAGACAGTATTTATTTTGTGGTAAATACATATTATAAATTCAGTATTCCTGATGCAGAAGTAAAACAAGAACCAGTGTTAGATGGAGTATACCATGCCTTCGCTTTGTAAGGTAAGACTAAATATGTTATTTGAAGAAAAGTAAACAAGTTAACGCTCGCTTTGAGCTAAAGCCTATATTACAGATTATGTAGTTGATGGTAGATGACAAGTTAACGCCCACTTCCAGCTAAAGCTGATGTCGCAAACTCGGTAGTTGTTGGTTGATGACAAGTTAACGTAAGCTGACAGCTAAAACTTATATCGCAGACTAGGTAGTAGTTGGTAATGACAAGTTAACGTAAGCTTACAGCTAAAACTTCTATCGCAGACTAGGTAGTAGTTGGTAATGACAAGTTAACGTAAGCTGACAGTAGGAACTGATATCGCAGACTAGGTAGTAGTTGGTAATGACAAGTTAACGTAAGCTTACAGCTAAAACTTCTATCGCAGACTAGGTAGTTGTTGTTAGATGGCAAGTTAACCTGCGCTTCCAGCTGGAGCTGATATTGCAGACTAAGTAGTTGTTGGTAGATGACAAGTTAACGTAAGCTTACAGCTAAAACTTCTATCGCAGACTGGGTAGTTGTTGGTAGATGACAAGTTACCGTCACCTTCCAGCTACATATGATACCGCCGACTAGGTAGTTGTTAGGATGACAGTTAACGTCATATTCCAGCTGATATTACAGTCTATAGGTAGTGGTGGAGATTATATTCTGTGCTAGTTATTTATTGTGAGGGAGTGCGTATCAATATGATAACTTACAAACTATGAGAGCCTAGTTTATAGCTTTTTGTTATATTGGTTATAAATCAATCAGTTTATAGGTTATAAATCAATCAGTTTATAGGTTATAAATCAATCAGCCATTATTGATCTTCAAATACGATTAGTAGCATTTTATCTTAGATCTTATAGATTAATATTATAACGAGTATTTATGCACTTGGTAATGGATTGATTCGGAATACAATAGGTCAGTTATTTGCGTTTCTGACTGTTCTCTTTCTATGATCGGAAATTGATTACGAAATTGTGAAATTTGGAATCAAGAAAGATACTTTACTGGCTTTCGTGATCAAAACAGAAATCGAATGTCTGTCTGTACTTGATGGACAGCACTCATGTGCTCAATCAGCAAAATTTTTGTACTTTCCAATGAACGAGACCAGCAATATCATAAGAGTATTGCAGGCTTGATAGCATGTCTTTGAGAACTGTTTCACCAAGCAGAATATTACATAGCAATAGGTACTCTATGTACACTTAGAAAAAGTTAAAAATATTCCTCAGCGTGTTTAATATCTACCGAAATTGGACAACTTACTGAACTTATGCGCAGATTAATTACTTGGCTTTTATGTATTACTGTAATATACTTTGGTTTTATGTTTAGATAATGCAGATAAGTATATTAATATTTTGTTTGTGTTTTCTACAGGTTAGCCGAAGTTAATCCACGTAAACTGTAAAAGTGAGAAACACATTAAATTAGTCGTCGTGTCAGTGAGATTTGCAGAGTGTTATTACCAAAAGAGGAGTATGTGTTAGACTTCCGTGTTACCTACAAACGAATATTATATTTGAAGTTAGTTGAACAAAAATGCCCAACATAACGCCATAAACATGGGCTCATATAGCAGGGCAATTTAATACTGGACAGAAAATGGAATTCGCGTCTGTGGTTCTGTCACAATAGAAAAAGATCAGTCATCACCATAACGCGACCATTGGCCCGAAATTAGAATTTTACCAATCATCACCAAAACAGCCATTGACCCGAAATTGGAATTTACTGCTGTGGTGTTGTGGTGCTGTGGTGCTGTTGCATCATCTAAATTCGACGAGCGAAGGTGGTCTACTGGTAATCTTGTTGATCAACTGATTAATTCGTATCTGGAATGTCTGTGTTCGCAGTGTCATATATTATCACTACAATGTGGATCTCCACCTTAAAATATGATTTACAACCACCTCGCCGATAATACACTGTCTAACGAGTAATTTATAAACTGGTGTGTATTTTAATATTTGAATAGAAGAGTGGGGGATCATATTTATATATCAAAAAGAACAATAGTACGTGATCAAGTCCTATAGTGTTATATCAAATGATTTAAAATTGGTATCGGATATTTATGATACAAAACATATGGAATATTGAAGCTACGGGTATTTGTGTGTCTTTATGGTTGTGTTTTTGTGTGATTAAATTCGGATGTTTTGAAGTCATTACGTCACGAGTGTTGTCAGCGCATCGATTGTGATTTAATATTACAGATTGGATCGTATTGTCGATTTTATCTCTGTGATGTTTGTATGATAACAGTTTATGAAACAAGAATACCTCAAGATTCTCATTACATTTTAAGTAAGTTGTAATTTTGTGTATGTAAATTTTTCTGCGTAGTGTCTCGGTGTACATATTCAAATTGACACACCACCATGGATAAACGTGTGAACAAATGTAAAATACCTGCCACAAAAACAATTGAAGCCACAAAGAAAGCCAAAGAAGCCATGAGCCCAAAGATTGCTCCTAAAGGCAAGAAAGACAATCCAGGGCAAACCTCCTTATTGTTATTGGGTGTTAAAAATAAGAAACATTCTACTCCAGTGGGAAGCCCCAAAGGATCAAGAGGATCATCCCGGAAGTCCAGTCCAAATACATCGAGACAGGGGAGTCCTACTTCCGGTGACTCGGACCCGGATACGCCTGATGGTAAACCAAGACGACGTCGTAGTTCTCCAAAACAAGTTGTTTCTTTGAATCTCAACTCCAAAAATAATCCTTTACACCGAGACAAAGTCTTGGAAGGAATCCTCCCTGGAGGGAAACCCGATTTATCCAAAATCTCTAAACAGAAAGACGACGGCATCAAAACGAGAGAGTCGACCCCAGAGGAAGAACACCCGGAAAGAAAGAGTCCAACGATGGACGAAGAATTCCGTCAAAAAGTCAAGAAAATGGACTACAATACAGTGTTTATGTTAGCTCAAAGAACCAAAGGCCCCCAACAATATAAATATAGAAAAATACTTCAGGAAATGTACGATGAACAAAATAAATCCTAAATATATGTACAGGTTTCACTCGTTGACTGTTTATAATATAAATAAAATAGCTCAGGTTGTCAGTTTGTGAAAGGTACTAAAGTGATTGACAATCATGATGGTAATGTTCTTTGGAAATACATGCTAATTGTTATGATTTGTTGAGTGGAGGATATTTTTTTATGACCATTAATTTATTTTATAAAAACGAACATATTGTGAGATCTACAAATTTCTATTTTTGGTGTCAGTTTGTGAAGGGTCTACGAGGGGTAGATAACTCTTGCTATTTCTTAGGTTGTATTGATTTTTTACTCCATGGCCAGTAATTCATTTTATCATTACAACTTGTTGTAAGAGCTACTCATTTCTATACAGTTCTATATTTGAGAATGTGGCTCTATTAGGGTTATACACCACTCAAATTGCTGATTGTGCATCTCGGTACAATGATAATTATGTGATGCGATGCTCTGATGTTCTTTATGAAACGATGTTTAATTAAAATAATTCACTCAACCAGTGTTTTTTTTCACAACGGGTATACATGTATCTTATAGATACTGAGTGGAATTTGCACAGAATGAAACGGATATTCAGTGAATATTGTACCAGATGGTCGCGTAGGGCATACAATACGCGATTATCTTTGAATGTCTATCATAAATCTCGTTTTCATGCGGCCCACCAGAATGTTATGTTCCCAAACCCATTCGCCCAACAGCAATTGAAACATTCTAATGTTATTCCAGGTAGATTCAACGGCCCATATCAGTTTAAATTTGATGGCTTATTAAAAACACCTTTGCTTGACCATATTGATGCGCAATCATTATACGTTCTTATTTCGGAGATGAAATTTTCCTAGTTCAAGGGAGGTAATATAATATATTGCTTTTTTATCAAATACAAGGGAGGCAACACGAAAATATTTTTTATTAATTGTGAATCAAAAACGTCTAATTTTAAAGAAAATATTCGGCCTAAAAAGCAAAATAAAAAAGGGATGTGCAGAATTTAATCCACTATCTTGAAATGTAAATCCTGCCAGTGGCCATTATCTTAAATACCTACATGATGATAGAGCTGCGGCCCATGCCCCTTCTTTCAAATTAAACGAGGGTCCAGTATCTGTTCGGATATGGTCACTTAATAATCTGGCCACTATCTCGATTTTCTTATGTCCCTTGCGAAAGTTTAACAAGGATTTTAAAGTGTTCATTTCTAGTTCATTATCTTCCAGTTTTGGACAAATTGTCTCGAGGTCGTTCACTGATACTCGTTCTGGACCGCTTGGTTGATCTGCTATGATAGATTTGCGACGTAAAAGATGCCATTTTGGTTTAATTTTTTCCACAGCTTTCTGGGATATTTCTTGGCCTCTGAATTCTACTCGCTTTTCAATTTTAGGGCACAAATTCAAAGCCACATCAAAGAGTGATACTTCCTGTTTTTCTTCGGCCTGGACTTTCATTGTTAGCTCCTTTACTCGCGACCATTTACTCATGTTTTGATTCGTCTGCACTTTTTTGGTTTCGACATTTTCGCCGCCATCTTTTATTTTGGCAATGTCGTCTGGAGTAGGACTCAAACGACTGGATGGTGAATCTACAACATTATAATTACCGATATTATCTTTTTCATTTTTATCATCTTCTAAATTTAGTAATTGTGTTCGATATGCTGTCTCCGATTTGTGTCTCACTTTTTTGTTGTCGACATCATTCCTCATTTCACTGCACTCTGGTTCAGAATGTCGTCTCGTGATATCGCGACTAGACGTATATATCTTACGATTATCTAATACAGGATATTTTTCTTTGGTGGAGTCATGCTGATGGTCGCCTCCATCTTTTTCTGCAGCTGAATGCGGTGATTCAGAAGCACCATTATATCTGTCCATCGTTATTGAAACTGTGTTATAATTTTCGCGGAAACCGAGTTCATTGTGGGTAAGTGTCGATCTCCGCCGATAGAGTAACTTCCCTTGAGCCTGTTTATTGATAGATTCAGGTTGAGCAAAATTTCTTCGTCTCGAAAGCTGGCTTACTGCTCCTGACTCTATTGAGTGGCGAACTTGGTCTTTGCCTGTTACCGAATTCCTTTGTCTGAAAGTCCCTATAGAATCACTGCACGAGATGTTGTGGACACTACGTCGTCTGGTGGACTCAGCATGTTGGATATACCCGCCATATTTGGCTTTAAATCTGTTCATGGAATTATCAATGTCTTTAAGAAAACGTCGACGTTGAATCTCAACACTCTTAAATGTTTCCTGCAGCTCTCGACATGTAGTTTCTTTATTCATGAACAGGTCAATTTTTCTATCAATGTCTAATCTTTCTGATTTCATTCTGTATGCCTATTTCCGCTGTGATGCTGGTACTAAAATCCCGAAAAAGAAGTACCTGCTATCGTAATAGAAACATTTGGCTACAGATACTAGAGTAAATGTAACTATAATTATGTCATGCAATGACTAAATGGAATATTTCCACTCACAATTCTTCGTTATTTGTTCCAAATTCGCAACACAAAACACATGCCTATTTGAATTTACAATTTCTTGAAGCTCTGTAATCGTTAATTCTTTCCCGGAATGTACAGTTTATGTCTTCAAGATTTGAATTTTAAACATACATAGCCTATAGACTCCAGCTTAGCCTATCACCTTACTGGTTTGTTGGTTGGTAGATGACAGGTTAACTGATATCTGATATCGCAAACTAGGTAGTTGTTGATAGTCGTAGTCGATGGTAATTGGAATTTACCACGCCTTATGAAGCCCCAGATTAACTGATTAATTAACTATTGAATGGGGTCGATTAGAAAATACAGATTTAACACGATAATCTGACAGCTTGTCAAAATGTACTTCCTTAATCTGAATACGGTAGATATAACATTCTCGGATTTTTAATCTAGTTCTCTTACTTAATAGCAAGAATACAGCCTTGGCTAAATTAATGAAAAATATTGATTGGGAAATGGTATGCTTATATAGGCCCAGGGGTTGACTAGACGAGTCAGAGTTCCTACGACTATACGATTAAAAAAAACACGAATATTTTTTCAAATTTCATCTCATTGAAATAGAGAAAAATAGCTATAGTCCTATAAGAAATTGAGTAGAGTAGGGCGAGGGTGAGAAAAAAGCTTGGAGATCCTATTCCCCTTTGTCTGACTGAGAAGTTCGCCTACATTAGTATTCCCAATCACGACCAATTTTGGGCACCCGGGGTGCGGTGGGCTACGAAACCCATTCTTCTCCTGTACAGACGTATATATATATCTTAATTAAGAGAATTTATATATAATAATCCTGTTAAAATGAATAAAAGATACCATTGGATGGAAGTCTGTGAAATTGTTATCTATAACCTAAGCCTTATTATTATAAAACTTGGAAGATAAGCTCGGTGTTTGTTGGATAAAGCAATAGAACTATATAATATGGATAAAGTAACAGTGATCCGCTTAGTAAAGGGGAGACTACTCTTATTTAAAACAAAATGGCAGCCCCCATAGAAGAGAATAACTTTTCTGTTGAATTCGTGGGAAAAATCAAAGACACGCTTGCAGGAATCAAAGGTAGAACACATAAGGCAAAAGGTAATATGGATTTTTACATCATTTAGTATTTTGAGTTATGAAAAGAACCTTACCACAGACAAAATGTGTTTCTTACATTGCGTAGACCTAATGAACTCAAGTGAGTTGACATCGAAGTAGAATAGGCTATTAGCCTAATGACGGTTAAACCAAATTTAAGAGTTCTTTAAGGTTCATACTGTTCATTCAGATGATGCCATGTTGAGTTTTATGTTTGCAAATATTTCATTTATAAGCTTATTTAATTGTGGTCTTATGACCTGCCAGCATTTATCTCTTAGCAATGGAGAGTAGCCTAGGGGAAGTCAGATTATAATCTGATGAACAATATCGAACTGTTTTATCTGGATTTTTATTCCATATACCGTAAAAGGCCCTTCCAATGACAACAATAATGATATTTGTATATTTCAGGAAATTTAGAAGTGATATCAAAATGTGAAGAATGCAGTAAAAAATGTGAAGATTTACTTATAAAATTATCAGCTGACAGTAAACCAACAACCATTGACTTAACTAAATATCTACAACAATTCATTCCGGTGAGAAAAAGTGGATCTTTCTTTATTCGGTTTGCCATAAATACTTATTTTACTATCTAGTGTATTTCTGCAAGAAACTGTATTAAATGCATGTATCAAGTGTATCCCTGAGCCCCGAGCATCCCTTAACCTTAAGTAAAGTAAGAAATCATGGTATAGTTTAATTTCAGATAGTATTAGATGTTACTTTTATTGATGAAAATGAACTGGTAGATGAAGAATTTCCACCTGATGTTTCTACTGGAGTTATACAGAATATATTAGGTAGGACCTTTAATCAATCCCAAGAACACTGGTTGAAAACAACATGTACTCTATTGCAGGAAAGTGCATATATGCATGAACTCCTCTAATGAAGGAACATTGAATATAATTTCTTTCCTTATTCTCAAATTACTATCTCTGGTTTCAGAGTAAGACAAATATTAATCAAATATTTGAATTAGTTAAAAGTTTTTTGTATATTTTCAGATGAATTAGATGGTCTATTAGCCTTAGGCAAGCATTTAGAACCTAAAAAACATGTAGGTACCAAAAAAATATTTAAAATGTTGCATGATTACTTTAACTATCTTTGATCATTCAAGATGGGAAAAATTATTCTTCTGTGTCCATCAAGCCTGTAGCTAGCCAAGGTCTCAGGAGGGGCCAACATTTTTTTAAGGAAGCTCAACTATTTGACTTAACAAGTCTATCAAGTCATCTAAATTTCTGAAGAGAGAGGAGGGGGGATTAGCTCTAAGTTCTGCACCATGGTTTACCAACCAAAGAAGTTTTATTCTCAGAGTGATTGCCTGTATTTCTTACAGTTACGAGAAACAACAGGAGATGAACTATTAGAGTGTATTTATTGGAGGAAGGGAGCGTTGTTATATATGTATTGTAAAACAATAGAATCAGATACATCTAGAATTAAAAACAATCTTCAACAGTATAAACAGGTTAATTACATTTAGATATTTTAATGATAGCTCATACTGGACTACTGTACTCACTGGTATCAGTATCACATGTTCATTATCACGTTCACAGGAATTACAATTTCAAAAGGTTAAGCAAGTCTTTTTATTGATGAAAACATGAAAATTTGTACCTACATAAAGCAATTCTTAGTTTTTTTCTGAATGCATTCCCCCCTCTGTGTTTGCTGTGTTTTGACATTGTGAACTTGTGTGTATATTTCAGTATTTAGTTATTGGTGTAGAGAATTTAAGATGTATGTTAGAAACAAGAGAACCTGTAGATATTGATAAAGATACAGAAAGTCAGAATGATGATACTCTTCATTTAATACAATCAGGTATTGGTAATATACTATATTATATATCTACATATATACTTACATATCTATATAGTCTGTTAAGAAAAGTGGTCCATTACAGCTGTAAACCTAAGTATGTTCCATTACTTAACATATATATGCTGGTATACCTTGTACTTAGTGAAAGGATATAATACTATGTGTCTCAAGATTACCAGGAATCATGAATACAAACATAGAATGTAGGTTGTTTATTATATTTAGAGGCAAATACACTTTTATATCTTTTCTGTTCTCTATTAGCAAGGACTTCTAGCTATATTATTCATATGATCAAAGCCTTAAAGTGATGCAAATCAGAGGTGTCTCATCCATTAGCTTATCTCAAACAAGAATGCAAGACTTAGAACTTCATTTCATTCTCTTCTATAAAGTACAAGAGATATGTTTGCTAACATGTGTTATGTGTTTGTATTTTCCACAGGTATTTATTCAGATACTCACCTACTTAGTTTAGTATATGCTGGTGAAATGTGTTATTGGTTGAACCACTGTGATAAACTAGGTTATTTTCAAACTGAGGAGATAGATTATAGAGATATAGGAGAGACCTATCTATGTCGCTATTTACAAGTTGTTAACGGACCTTTAAAACACCAGGGTTGGAACACTGACAGTGCTCAAACTATGTTACAAAGTTTTAAATCCTAGGTTTTGTTATTTTATTTGTTGGCTAATAAAGATTTTTATTTACTGTTTATTTATTTTTTATATGTTTGCCTCGATCTTTCTGAACCAATGTACTAAGAGCATCTCGTCTCATTCTTGAAGTTGTTTATAGCCAGAAATTGCCTGCTAGCAACTGTGATCAAATGTAGGAATGAAGGATCGGACCGCAGCTGTGGTTAGCGACAAAAACAATATTTTTCTAGAAGTAGAACATGTCGGCAATTGCACATTTTCAGGTCCTTGAAAATCCATTTGCTCTCAGGTAACACCCCACCTCCTGTACCATTCCAAAAATTGACGGTATTAGCTATGAAGACCCAGCATATTGATGTCCAGTTGATAAACAGATGGAAGGATGCAATGGGTTGTTCTGAAAGAGTTTGTAAGTCCTCTGAAGGTTGCATCTCGTCCTATAGAACATTCTCCACAATGAATCCAGATTAATCCCATTCTAAAATATTTAAGAGAAACTTATTGAATTCTAAACGTCAGATAACGCACACGGAACGAGGTTGCTGACCTGCCATCTACCGAATCAATTCGGGGACGACCATAACAAATTTCCAAGAGACAATGAAGATATCCCCTAGCCTCATAAATTGTTTCGGATGTCGACAACTTTTGGCATACGAGTATTTATTGCACTGAAAATATTTACTATTAATTTTATTATTGCACAAGGTACATAAAGTTGACATGATAGATGTAAATGTGGATTGTATATCAAAATGCTCTTCAGGTGGTAATCTGTAATTCGTCGTTTTCAACACAATTTCCTGTCAATATTGCAGGTCGAAGAGGTGGGTAGAAGCGTTGTATATACAAACACGAATCATCTTTTTTGTCTTTCCTGATGCGTATCATCAACGATTATCACGTGGTGTTTCGGTCGCATTTTGGTCAATCTATAAGAACATCATCTGATTTCTGATGGTTATTTTTGCTCCAGAATCGTTACGGAGCTAACTTCTGTTTCGTAATGAAATTTAAATACATGCGGCGCAGAGCTGAAAACACTCTTAAATATAACAACGTTTTGGCAGAATGATATTCTGATGTAGTGCCTAGAGCTAGCACCGCCTGGCGCTGAGAAAGTGTTTCTGTTTAAATGATATTCACAAGGCAAACAAATTAACTTCAGTGAAATCCAGAATCACTGGAACTTAGTGAGTTTTCCTTCCTTCCGTTTCCTGAAAAATAACACAAAAATAAATGCAAAACCCAATACATATTTCAAAGGTTTCTCCTAAATTCTTCAGCAGAAATATAGATAAAGTTGTTATCAATATTTTAAATGCTAACTGATTGGACCATGTCACTTTTCATGTAAGTCCAGATAACTGTGTATTACTGTAAAATATGAAGAAAACGATTTCATTTATCTTTTTACCCAGGATAATACTCGCTTATAGCTTCTCGTTTTGTCAACTAGTTCATTATGTTACAAGACCTGTTTGGCAATATTTAAAAAATATAACTACGCTTAAAACGGTACCCGATTCTTGAACATAAACTAATTTTGTTTTAGAATGACTTGATAATGCTGATGATGGTCTACTTCCTTGTGTAGACATGGAAAAATTACTTCCGGATGAACTTGATATTTCTGGTGTTTTGGATAGAAGCCACCAAGTGACCATTTCACCCTTTCCCTGTAATATACAACGAACAATAATTATCTAGTCGGGTTCGAAACTTATGACCGCGAGCATATCTTCACCCGAGAACCAGACTTTTCTATATCCACTTCAAAGTTTCAAAACCACAGATTTTGTTCGTATTTCATTGGATACATTTGATATGCTAAAATTTCCCGGCGGAGGAGACACAACCCACATCCCGTTGAGCCACTGCATCATCTATTTAATTGGATTCTTTCTCTTACCTTTATGGGTATGGCTCCTCTACACTCGAAAATGTAACCTCCTATCATCTCTAGATGGTCATGTGTTGACGAACTGATGTGGATTCTGTAAGCTATAGATATAATAATAAATACAAATATACCAATTAAGATTCGAGGTATCCAATTGTATTGATTTAATACATAATATGTCGTCGATGAAAATAAAATAATAATAGAATATGCAAGATCCTTCTGCATTATAGATGATAATGGAGAATAATGGAACTATACGTCTGCCAACAATAATAATTTTGCTTAGCACCGTCAGCCGTTAGACTCTGCATGACAACAGATTACCTTACCTGCACCGTTTGATTCCATTCTAGAAGCTGTATTAACAGTATCACCGAATAAACAATATCTAGGCATCTTTAACCCAACTACACCAGTACATACTGGACCTGAAAGCATTCTCAATACAACAACTGAACCAATACCAATAGGTAGAGTTAGGATACGTTAGTGGGTGTGTTAGGGTTACATCGATAGTGTATGGGCGCCATATTCACTTGTTACAATAGTGCAATCAAATAATTAAGGCACCACGGTCAATGAAACATCGACGTTTCATCAACATCACTGACAAAGACGAGAAAACATATTTACAGCGTGGATGAATGTCATCTTATAGGCGATTAGGGGCCATGGGTTCGAACCCTGGTTTATTTGTTAACAGGCTTTCTATCTTGGGATTTGATTGGTTGTATTCGCTAGAGTACTGCATTTACCAATTGTTGCGATACAAGAAAAGTTTTGAATGATGTCAAGGTATTAGATGGAGATGGTGAAGACGTCGTTTCCCCAGCAATATTGACTGTAAGATTATCTACCTGAATGTAAGCCAACACGAATCTGTAATAGTTCGTCAGGAAGATGTGGTATAACAAATTTTTTACACGCTGCCACTATTTCTAAAGACATATTGCTGATCTCTCGGGCGTGGAATTCTGTTTTTATCGGAACACCAGATACAACCATGTCTGTAAAGAGAAAGATGACAGAATACCCAAGGGACATTTTCACAATATGATAAATAATGCATCTTTTAGTCAAGAGAATTTTAAATACAGCCAGTCAATCATTTGTTTTCTTTTATTTGCATATTTTATTTCATTATGACAAATTGTAATTATTGTGTATTCATAATTCATAGATACACATCAAATATATTGAAAACCGATTTAAGCCAGCCATTATAATTACTTAGTTTTCCAAGAAACTTGTTCTTTGAGCTGGAACTAAATCAGTTAAATTGGTACATAGCAGAATAAGGGTGGGATTACAATTGTCATTGTTTTTGTGTAGATTACAATGGAGACGAACAATATCAGACGAGAAGAAAAGAAATAATTAAATTAGGTTGTCTAGAGTATGAGGACCATGAAAACATTTCAAGACTCATACGAAAGGCACTATCTTTAGGCCCAGGAAACAGGGGGTTCCAAAACTAGTCGCCCCCCTTTGGCTCCGCCACTGTTTCTCCTTCGGCCAATACCTTCGTTCCATTTAATAAGTTATCATGGTATACTTACAAGCGTCACCTATAGTCTCAACTTTATACACATCAAACTGGTCTATAATTTCATCGAAAGTTGTATAGAGTTTATTTAGCAGGGCAATAACTTGCATAGCAGTACTTTTACCCGAGAGAGTTGTAAATCCTACCACATCACTGAAGTAGATGGTACATTCATCAAACGATTCAGCGTTTACCACGGTACCTTGTCGCAGCTGATCCGCTACTGGTTTTGGTAACATACCTACAGTGAAAGCATCAAGTTGCAAATAAAATATTGGTTTTCTATGGAGCAATGGAATGGATTTTAGTTCCAGATCAGTGTAAATGGGTCTTTTTTAAGAGCTGAAAATTTTGAGTTGCCTTCTCCGTCTGCAATGCTTTTCAATCAACTCACGTTTGCCTTCGATTTATCAACATGTAGATTGAGACCCGTTTTCTCCCCAAAGTTAAACCTTTTGGAAAACAATGGATGGCCTGTGCATTACTTACTGTATAATAATTTGTCAGTTTTTTGTTTCTCAGCCACCAGATCACGTGTTCTGTCAACAACTATGGATTCTAAATGCTTCGAGTATTTTTCCATCTGAAACGAAAGAAATCATTATAACATCTTAATAGAAAAATGTCAAACGTAACAAATTGATAATTGAGAAATCTGGCAAACAGAATCGGAGTGTAAAAGCATCCTGTATCGAGTGTTACACAAATAATATACTAGCCCGATAAATCTGGCCCTAATCAGTTCCTCAGACGTGATATATAGATGTGAGAATGTGATATCACGTCATATAAACTGTGAAGGGCAATATTATGCCGGACTAAATATGTAACACTTCTCCAAGCACTATAATGTGTAAACGTGTAAAGCCTAAGCAAGATGGTTGATTTGTTAGTGACTTACCATATGCATTATGAGATCGACAGCACTGAGTTTATTAGGGTTTATTTTATATATAGTTTTCTTGATGGTGTCAAAAGTTGGTCTTTCCTCTGGTTCGTTATTCCAACAGTCTTTTATTAACTGAAACAGAAATGATTAGTCAATTACAGCTACAATTGAATAATTCAGAATATGAGACTCTTATGTTAACGTCGTTGATTTTTCACCCCTTGGACCCAAATCAAAGAAATGAGGTTTCATATCGGTGTCCTCTTCTTGGACATAAAAGTAAAGACATAAAGAAGTGAGATATCCTGGTTAGTTTGACACCTCTAAAGATATTGATGCTAGAGATTTAGTACATTGGTTGAAAGTATATTTTCATCTGAATTTTTCGGTGTTGTTTTGACAATATCTCTCCAGATATTTCTGACCAAAGCTGGCATATTGATAGAATAATAAGTCTAATTGTTGACAAAGGAAACAAACTACAATACAGGAAGGGTAAAAGCAGAAATGTTTCGTTGTTACCGAGCAATATTCAAACGGACAAGGACATCGGCTCTCTTTATCAACAGTTGCATCTTCTTCTGGTAGAGGTGGTTTCCAATCCCCTGGTAGGACACTTCTATCTTCATCCTGGAAACAAAATAAATATTCCTTGAAGCTGTTGCCCGCAAACGTATTCTTCTTATGACTGGGTTATCAATGGTCATACAAAATGTATATTCAATATTTGACACAAAATGGTGTAATCGAATTCGTGAACACCAGATCTGTATATCCACTAAATATTATTCTGGGGCCAGCAAGTTGACATTTCCGTGACTAAAGAGCAAGAAACCATATTGTGCTATGTTATTTTATTTAACCAAACAGCTAACACAATGAGTTTTGATAATTTATTTTGACCGAAAACTAATTTTCAGAGGATTGTGACAGAATTCTCGACGAATCTGATTAGCGAATATTGAAATGAATCATTTATATCTTCATACCCCATATGGATCATTTCTATTTGCTATTTCCACCAGTAAGACGGAAAATGAGTATACATCTCCAGGACAGCTCGACCGTGTCACACCCTTTCTGATTTCTGGTGCAATATACACATCTCTAGCTGTTTCTTTATAAACCTGTTCTTGTTTGTCCTCATCACATGTTACATCAACTGCTCGATATGTTGGTAGACCGAAATCTGGGATAAATGAAACACAGAGTAAAAAATTTCTAATTAAGTATATTTATCATACAAAGGAATTAGGATTTGGGAGACTATTCTTAGCGAGGCACTAGATAATGAAGGAATAATTTGTCGAAACGCACATTATAGGTATGGATTGAAAAGAGAAGAATGGTCACGTACCAGTAACTTTTACCGTCCACCTATCATCTACTACACAATTACTGGATGTAAGTCGACCATGAACCATACCCCGACTGTGTAGGTAACTCATCCCACGACTTATGTCGCTTGCCAGTGAAAACCTAAAAATAAAACCAGAATTTGAACATTTTTTTTACACAAAGCGTCAACGGATGAATGGCGAGATGTTATTACCAGCGTTTTGTAATCGAAACATCAATACAATGATGTATAGAATATCAAATAATGATTAATTAAATTATTGATACAATAAACATGGCCATCTAAGTGGAATTGAACGTCTGAGACTGGAGTTGATTTCTGACACCAGCGTCGATAACCATCCAAAATAGAAAGAAGTTCAGCCAGGTTAGCATGGTAGCAAGATATGTTTACTCTCTAGACATCTGCTACCACTTTTCATTACGAAATACTTTCATTTATTTAATTCATTATATAAATAGTATAGCTGCAACCAATGTATTATTGCTAAAGTGTTATATTAGATTTCAGGTGTCGATTTCGAGTTTCGTTTAGCGGTTCGGATCGTTAGTACTTGGATTTTTTTTATTGCAATACTTTGAATGTGAAAGAAACATTTCTACCTGAAAGCCCAGTTGAGGGGTATTTCATCATTCAGCAATACGTCGTTTAAACTACCTTTAGGACAATATTCTGTTACTATAGCAACATCAGGAATATCTATACATCCACCAACAAATTTACATAAATTAGGGTGATCCATTTCTCTAAAATATAAACAAAAATGTGAAGTTATAGTCCAGAGCATGTATTCTCGAAACGATCTTAGCGCTAAGATGTCCTAGAATCAATGTTAGAAGATAAGGACTTAGGACATCCTAGCGCTAAGATCGTTTCCAGAATATGTGGCCAGAATTTTATAAACGTTTCCCTATTTGTTCAATTATAGGAGAATCGAACGTCAGATTGTCTTTTGAAAAGTATCTTGGATAACTGTAAGACTAGATCATGTTAAAATCATCAGAATTATTTCAAAAACATCAAAACAAAGGAACTGGCCTGGTGTCCGCCGAAAGCGTCCGCTGTACATTGCCAAGTGGGGTTACAAAGGATTCCATTGATTTTCAAGTAGTAGATATTGAGGTGCTTACGGCTATCTGATCGATTTATCTCGAGTTATATTTTTCTTAATGTTATCAATATATCTTATATTACTAGTGAGCTTTGGTATAAGAGCCTGGAGTGAACAAAATACTCCCAAAAGAAATCTATATATAAGTGAAAGGAGCCTTTGCCAATGTTTAGGCAAAGAACGTTTTAGATCGATGCCAGAAAGCGTATTGATTACAATTACGAGCATTTGTCATCCTCGGGGATAAAGGTCGAATATCAGTAAAAACAATTAGTGTATCCTGAGAAGCATTAGACATTGGATGTACCTTTGTTTGCGTCAACAAATCCCAGCGTTGGAGACGGCAAGGATTTGATTGGCTAGAGATGTCATCAAATCTATAAATGTTCAAGAAGGCCGTCTTAATATCCAACTGTAGTGGCTAAATTAAAGATAAAGCTGATAAAAAATGGAACGGAAGTTTTGGTCGAATATCTACACACTGTCTTCGAAGACAATAAATGTTGAGTTTACAACTAGTAGATTGTTTTCTAGCTTTCACCCTGAGACGACAGGGAGGATTATTTCCACACTATCCGATCTACCATCTCTTTTAACGCTTTTTTTTATATATTACTAGCTGAAGACATTCCAGCAACACATGATTGTAGGATCATTGACCATCCTCCGTCAGCTATCGAGTAACTAATTCGCCTTCTAATAAGTAACAGAATACCGATAAATCAAGCAAAGACACTGTCAATTATGACTATAAGAGGTCGGATATAAAATCAGCAAGTTTCTAGCTAAGAACCTATCATAGATCAGATATAACATCAGTACCTCTTGTTGAAAAGTTTCAACGGACTACCGTTGATGAGGCCAAATCGAAAGTCAACAAATCGACAAACTTTCTTCAACAATTACAATCTTCAATCTAATCATTAACAATTAAGTAATTTTAATAGATTATGAGGTCGATGTAGCGCTCTAAGCTCAAGGATGGGCGGTTTGTTTCTCTTTTCCTATATTATTATTACTGCCGTTAAGGGGGAATATTAAATCCATTGATCCACTAGGCCTCTTATCATTATAGAATCAATCACGTATTAAAGGGGTTGTTTTGTGGTCTTCTGCGTCTCAGGTATAATGAGAGCTGCTATTTGCACCATTCAAGCCAAAAATGTTTAATCAAAGTGACGTTATAGTCTGAAAGCACAAGAGCCACCGACTTCTGACAGGAAATCAGGGCGGTGCGAATTGAAGATAAACTTACAGAGACTAGGAAACCGCTTTAGAATCCCGTTTAAAGCAATTAAATTGAGTATTCGTGTTATTCACATTTCGATAGTTAAAATTCCAAGTATATAGTCTAATTATTATCTTTATCAACATTTAGAGCTAATGTAAGTTAAAGATACATATAACAATTGGTGCCACCACACCAATGCGAATACCAGTTGCGTATGGTTTCGAATAACGAAAGTGGTCATGAGTACCGAATGCAACTCACAACTTTTTATGACCGCTTTTCCTATATGCAATCATCCACTAGTGATCGCCATGGATCAGAATAGACATCATACGTTGTTATTGGCTACAGGTGTAACAATCGTTTAGGCTACCAGTCCGTTATCCAGGGCCGTAACTACATCAAGCCAAATGGGCAAAATGTCTTATGCTCAATTTTACAAGCAAGACAATTCCGTTATTCAAAAATCAAGTCCAAAGCAGGGCCAAATTTAGAGTAAAAGCAGCTTAGTAGTGAACTCCTCCAATGATAAGTATATCATCTGGTTTTTCGAATTGGATGTCTATGCCAAAGGTTGTTACCGTTTGAAGTTTAGCGAAAGCGTTGTGATGACTGATTTCTAAGACCACATGAGGTTTGCGCATTACATAGAAAAAAGACACTAATTAAGGGCCTTTTATCATTTTTCTACCTTATAATCCATTTTATAATATCATATTAGTAATAAATATAACATGCTTTAGCAAATAAGCAGCGCGTAAATTATAGAATTGGCAAAAATAATTCTATTACATGGTTTATGTCTTATTAACCATTGTTAACTAAGTTTGAGTAATAATTAGAGCGTACAAAATGTCAAAATGGTACTAAGATATTGACGAAATGATTATGATTACATAAATTTACAAAATAAGATATGTTTCCGATTGATTCTTAGACGAAATTATAAGCTGACTGGCATTTCAGGTTCATTTCATAACTATTATTCAATACGGTACATGTATATTGAGTAAATATTTCGACATCGGTACCTTTGATGTTTGTCGGGGGCTTCCAAGTTACACTAGAAAAAGGTCAAAAACCTTTCCCCGGGCTGCAGAAATTCCAGCGTCCTTGAACAAAACTTTCCCCTTCCTACAGAGATTTCAGCGTCCTTGAACAAACAGCCTTTCCCTGTTGCAGAGATTCCAGCGTCCTTTAACAAAAATCCTTTCCCTTGCTACAAAGATTCCAGCGTCCTTGAACAAAATACTGTCCCCTTCCTACAGAGATTTCGACATCCTTGAACAAAAAAGCTTTCCCTTTGCTGCAGAGATTTCAGCGTCCTTGAACAAAAACTGCCCCCTTCCTACAGAGATTCCGGCATCCTTGAACAAAAAAGCATTCCCTTGTTCCAGAGATTTCGGCGCCCTGAACAAACAGCCTTTTCCCTTGCTGCAGAGATTCCAGCGTCCTTGAACAAAAAAACTTGTGCCCCTGCTTCCAGCGGCCTTAAACGTAAATACTATTCCCTTGCTACAGAGCAAACAACCTTGAACAAACCACTGCCTTTTTCCTTGCTGCAGAAATGTCGCCCTAGAACAAAGCACCCTTCCTCTCGCCAAATATGTTCAGGTGTCCTTGAACAACAAGCAAAAAGGATAAGATAGAATCAAGTTTTACCTTACGGCTTTCACTTCTGATCTAATCTCAAGAGAAAGTTTGAAGTCGTTCTTCTGAATTTTCTTTACGGCTACCGTTCGTCCTTTACTGAAATAAGACCATACATCAAGCCAAACTTACGTAATAAAATTGCACGATTAATATAAGCTTAAGATGTAGTTCTTCGCAAGATTAAGGATATTCGGTAGCTGAAAATGCAATATTCATTGCAAAGTATTCAAGTCGCGCTAGTAACTTAAAGATTTTATATTTATATATAACAAGAAACATGACCAGTTTCTTCTTTACGATTCCAAATGTTTATGTATAAGTAGCTGCTACCGTAAACAACAAAAATATTCAACGCCATACCTCGAGCCCCCGGACGCGAAACGGATGAGACTAACTGCGATTCCGGGGCATTGCATTTGCGTTTCGTTTTAAGTAGCTCAAACAGTAACATTTCATCTGATAATCTTTAATCACATAGAATCTCGACTTACTAAATTGCTGTATTAGCAAATATCTGTCTACGCCTAGCGGAATCTGACATAGATGAAGTGTTCACACTGCTTCTACTATCTGACGTGTTGACTGTCAACATACTTCCAAACATCCCTCGTAACCCAATATCTATAACAGAAAGACCAAATTAGATAAAGCAAACTGAGCTAAAAATGCTGAAACGGCGTAGCCTTTTTTGGGATCACTGGTTTCATAATTGACGGTGAGTATGTTTTTTAACGACGGTATTTGGGACACAAAATTTGTACAAAAAACCCTCGTGATGTTACTGAATCATAAGCATTTGGACGTAACCCAATATCTATAACAGATAGACCAAAATATATAATGTGAACAGAGCAAATGGCGATGAAATGGTGTAGCTTCCTTTGGAATGGTGGTTGGTGGTACTGACTTAAAATCATTTAGAAGTTAACCGATGTTTGTGTCTTTTGTAGAAGAGGCGATGCGATGTATGAGTGAAAAATGCCGTTTTGTTTTCTAATTTCTATAATATGGCCCAGAATATATTGCATGTCTTTTTAACTCTAAGGATCCCAATTTTGTCGATTCTTCAATCACAAAAATTACAAGTAACATTAATTCCCCTTTTTGTCAGTTTCCGTTATTATCCGAGTTAGAAACATCTGCTAGTATTCCAGCCTCCGATAACAGTTGTAGGGCCGACAAATTCAAGACTAGCTATCAAAAGCTGGGCTAAAAGCAGATGTTTCGGACTAATAATAATATGATGCCGACAGTGAACATTATTGAACTAACCTTCTTTTATTTCATCATTTGAGATGATCCAACTTTCATCCCATAATAGTTTTCTTTGCTGATATCTGAAGTACTGGAAATAGAAATGCCAAGGAGGTCAAATTGAGTAATTATGAGACCATAGGCATCATAAAGAATTGAATCCCAATTTTTTGAACTCTTTGTACTATTACACTTCATGTCTTGTCTATCCTAGGTAAATGGTTTGCACCCCTATTGTACACCCACTTTATCTTTAACAAATTAAGAAATATGATTTTTTTTTACGTATTTGGATCAAATTATATGTCAGAATATACCAAATCAGTCCAATTTTTCGAAAATTTTCCGGGACTACCCTGTCAGACATTCCATGGGAGGCTTGCGACCATGACGCCTCCACAGTATTGCCGCATTTTGAATTTAGGCTCGACAGTTTGTCCCCCATGGAGCCAGCCTGTCCCCTATTTGTACCCCAAGATTCGGGAGGCTGGCACCGCCAATGATAAGGACAAATAACTTACCGCTATGATAATTATAAATATAACGGCTAATATAACCAAAGCTACAACTATCAGAGCAATTTCCCAGTCTGTTAATGGACATGAACCACAATCTTTAGGACAAGTCAAACAGTCTTCACCTTCATCATCTTCACAGCGTTCATCACCACAAACTATTAGATACAAATATAGATCGAAACAGGTCTGAATAGCCATTAAGCAACATTAGAGGTAGAGTTAAAACCCAAGTACTAACGATCTGAACCGCAAAACGAAACCCGAAATCCAAAGCAATATATTGACAATACATTGATAGCAGCTAATGAATTTTTTATATGTGGAAGTATATCAATCATAAATCGCTTGTATCTGATGTAATAATGGTATTATTTGTTAGGTGTTAAATTTTTCCTCATTTACCTGTCGCTATCAGGTTTGTAATGTGATATACTAGGTATACTAGCATTTTTATCAATTTAAACACGAGAGTAGTTAATGAACTATTTCCATCTTATCCCTGAACATTGTTCATGTTTCAATATTTACACTTTATTCAAGGTAAAATGAAAAGTTTTCACTTTTCCCTTTGTTTTTTTTTTTGTGATGTGAAAGCATATTAGCACTTTATCTAATCAATACTTAATACTAGTTAAAAAAAATAAAATTCATTAGAAATCATAGCGTTATCTCTGATCTGTACATACTTGGTGCATGTGAAATGAATATTGGTACATTTTTAAGCACCGTACAACAACAGAAATCAATTCAATGAAAAAAACGATGGTTAATGGAAAGTAACTCTTTATGCTTAATAATATATAGAATTATGTTTTTGATACCAATTACTTTGATCAACCAATACGTACTGAATCAAACTTTCCCCAAGGACAATTTAGTATTAGCTTGACAATAGATCTTAACAATATACTCCCGATACTATATTTGATAAATTGAAAATTGAATTATCCTTTTATCATCTGTTCAATTAGCCCAGGGTCATAGATTCAGGGGGTTAGGGGAAGGGGGTTGGCAATGCCCTTCCTCCCCTCGAAAAAATGGATCGCTCCCTGACAACCCACAAATTCCATTACTGCAACTTATAAACAAAATACACCATTGCCCCTCCGGATAAATTACTTTCCCCTCCGTTTTGTTTTGATATTGTAACAGTGAAACCGAGAGATGTGTTCGAAACTTATGACCGCTATTCATTTACGCATCTGGTGATCACTATGGTGTTAGGGCCAGTTAAGCAGCTAGTGTTCTCTCAATGGAAACACATAAGGTGTTGTTCAAGTGTTATTTATTAAAAGTGTAATTCAGTAAAAGAGAAAACACAGCGTGGTAATGTACAACTAGTACTTTTCATTGATCTAGTCATGTAAATTATTGACCACAAAGTCTGTTGTAATGAAGGCGTTAACACAATTTACCCCAAGGGATATTATTTGTTAAATGAAGCCCTTTACCTCTTATCCAAACACTTGGCGGCACTTCTCTTTGAAGAAGTCAACTATACTACCCAACTTTAAACTTCCATTTTGCCATAATTTGGACGAAATTTTGATAACGGAATTGTCTTTCTTGTAGCATTTTTATTACTGAGATAATTATATAATTATTGTATTACTATAAAACCTACAATTAAAAATATACTGCGTACACATTAAATGCCAGCAATAACTTTTGTGCTCGCTCGCCCTTATGGAAGCACTATACAACTTGGTTTTTCAACTAAAGATATCTTATATAATTCGCAAAAAAAATGTGTCAGTTCAATAGATCGACCATGTATGGATTTTTTTTTATGTTTCTGAAGGCTAATGATATAAACGAAAATCGAAACATGCTGATTACTTTCCAAGTGCTTGTGGCAGTATTTATTAGTTTAACAATTCGACAACAACTCCTACGCCGGGGCGTTGTAAACTGTTATATAGTAAATAATACATAGTCTGTAAATCTATAGTCATTAAAGTTGATAAAGATCTCAATCATCAATAATAATCTGTTATAATAAACGTGTTAGTATAGGTTTTCCCCAGAGAGTATCCAGTAATAATTTTGTAATAGACCGTAAAACCTACAACTATAGATAGATAAGTCTAGTATTCTAGTGAGATCAAAATGATATAGGTCAATGCAAAGCTGATTTTTATTTTTTAACTTTAATCAAATCTGTGTAAAATTAGAATGCTTTCATAAAAAAAAAACACAAAACACATAAATGTATATTTTCTCTTAAAATATAACAGCAATTAGCATTAAAGGTTTTTCTAGAGGGGGTCTAAAGACCGTGTACTCATTAGTATATTAGTTATTAACGAGACGGAACTAAAAGTCACATTTTTCTACTTTATGACATGGCATTACCAATGAATATATTCTGTTGCTCGACAGATGCAATAACCATTCTATAAATAGTTAATGATAAAATATATTCAGGTGGGCATTTCTTTTATTAAATTGTAGCAAGGTAATTCCCGAATAATTGCGAGGTAAGCTTGAAAAAGTATCCTTATAAAAAAACGAAGAAATCTCATGAAAAGAGTATATTCAAGAAAAATTGATCTAATTACCAAATATTCTTTAACGAAAGACAAGTTTTAATTTTTATCTGATCAATTGACTTCCTGAATTTATAGTTATTAATTGCAGTGAAACTAACCAGTTTTCGGTAGAACATGGACTGTTTTCTCTACTGCAATGTGCATCTTCGCCACTTTAAAATGTGCAATGATAGACGTATGTCCTTCTGTATATAAACCAGCAACTAGACTTGTCCAGTTTCCTGTGGTGGGAGGACCAACCATTACCTACGATGAAAGGATAAAATTTAAAAAATGCACTGTGAAAGTAGAATTTCATGCATCAATTACGAGGTAACATAGAAAAATAGATACTCTGAATAACCACGAACTCTAAACAGTATGTTGAATGACTATCAAACATAATAAAAACCAAGCTATCAATTAAGCAATTTAACAAAACAAGACAATATTATGGAATATAACACACTTTTTTAATAAGGTTAGGCACATAACGTTTCAACACAATATACATAAACATAGTATTGTCTTTATTGTGTTTTGTTATATGTGCTCCTCGCTTCTATAAGTCGTTCAAATCTTACAATTTAGCAATTGTAATTGACTTCCAAATTATGACAATCTTATACAAGAGGTAATGAGTCTTATAATGATATTTATATTTCTATATGCCGAGACGTCTGTATCTGACCATATTGTGGGTGTGTACAAATACTTCAAACAAAGCTACAAATAGGGTTATTTTGATTGATGTCATTTCCAACTTGATAAATAGGTTGGTAGATCACAAGTTAACTTGCTGATATTGCAAACTAGGTAGTTGTTGGTAGATGACAAGTTAACGTTCGCTTCCAGCGGATGCTGATATCGCAAACTAGGTAGTTGTTGGTAGATGACAAGTTAACGTTCGCTTCCAGCGGATGCTGATATCGCAAACTAGGTAGTTGTTGGTAGATGACAAGTTAACGTTCGCTTCCAGCGGATGCTGATATCGCAAACTAGGTAGTTGTTGGTAGATGACAAGTTAACGTTCGCTTCCAGCGGATGCTGATATCGCAAACTAGGTAGTTGTTGGTAGATGACAAGTTAACGTTCGCTTCCAGCGGATGCTGATATCGCAAACTATTTAAAACTTGATAAAGATACTATGGTGACCTTTTATACGAGGTAATGAGTTTAAATGCTTTCGGTATCTGACCACATTAAATAAAATATGATATTAGATGATTTGATTGGTGTCATTTCTATCAACATCAAGATCGGTGATGACTTTGATGAGTTTCATAATTAATAAGATTTATTCATTTGCCCAGACCGATCAAAACAATAGATACATTGATTCTCATTAACCCAACTAAAAACGAGAGAGAAAGTTTGAAAATAGTAAAGTCAACAGTGACTTGGTTATCAAGTTGATGACAATCTAATTCAGGCCATCAGCAAGAAATTAATACCACGATTTCCAACCTATCGTTTCATCTCCGAAAGTCCTAGACATTTTTTGTATGAAATAAATTTCAAAGAGCTGAATTCTAAAAATAATTATGGTACGAATTCGTTCTGAAAATATCAATCTGTTGTTGTTTATTACTATGGATTATTATACCCTCGCCTTTTTCCCCTAAAAACCGATCTCGGTATAGTTTTGATTTCATTGCGTTCATCATGAAAAAGACTGAATTACCTGGGAATGGGTGAAAATAGAACCGGAAGGTGGAATCCATGGACCACATAGACCATCTTTAACAGAATCTTTCTCTGATAGCGGACAGGAATGGACATTGACATGATGAATACAGCAGTTATCTGGAGTGGATTTCTGGACTGACGGACACACCACCGTCTCACACCATTGTTGGGCTTCAGCTGGGTCACTAGATTAATGATAGGACATTGTGGTAAAATTAGGACTGTTTATTATTATCTATGCTCATGCATGAAGTTCTTTTTTAGTCCACAGAAAACTGCAGTTGGTTTCAGCACAATCCACTTGGATTTGATATTTGGTAGGTTAGTTCAATAAAAAAAATATGACAGTTGGTTTCAGCACAATCCACTTGGATCGAATATTTCGTAATGTAGTTCAAGACATAAGACAAGAATATATGAATGTAAATACGAATGATAAAACGTTTCAATTAATATGTACTTAATAAATGTAGAACTTTTTTTCTTGTGATAAAGAAACAGATAACAATCAAAGCGTATAGTTTCTAAGGTGCTTGACAATGATTTGATGGAGAATAATCTTGAGCTACATTGTTTCAGATTGTGTTCAAAGCTTACTCAATAGTTGAAGAGGTTTAGAGAACTGTCTAGCAGAACATAATTACACTATTTCTTTCAATAAAAACTCCATCAATTCTGTACTACTGAAGCTTTTTTAAACTTATATAAAAAATCTATATGTGTGTCTATGTTTTATTCCTATTGTGATTCGTATCTGACCGTTGATTAGTCTTTCAAGGGTTGTAATCGTCTTAGTATTATCTCTGACCTTTTGAAAGAGCTCAATATCAGCTATGTGAATCATTTTTAACAACGGAAATGTGACTAGCATGTAATACAATTGACACGATAAAGACTTCTGCTCTATCCTTCTTTCTATCTTAAAAAGATCAGGGCTGTGAATTATCGGTTTCTTTTTATTTTTTTCTTTTGGATACGCTGGATAAGATAAATTTAGATATATCTCTTAAATATTTTGGTATATTTTCTTGAAATCTATTTTTAGCATAAAAGGATACGTTTCCTAGAGCATTTGGCGAAAAGACTATCACGGTTCTTACGATGAAATATGTCGACAAATAACACACCAAATAAAGTATTGATGGCGAGGATGGTGACAATGTAAATTGTTGAAACATTGAACAATAAAATCCATGCATAGTTTATTTTGATATTTGAAATTTAGCTACGCTAGTTAATCTTAAGTTTGTATCTGATTTACAATTTGAAGTACATCATTGATATATCTAAACAAGCATACATGTTTCTAAAGTGAATAGAATTGTAAATATTTAACAACTACTATTTAAATAGTGCTTAATTAACACTAAGTATGTAAAAGCGTTGATAATAAATATAATATACAATGTATATGTAAACAGAGTTGTTGGTTGTTGGTAAAAAAGTTGGAAAATGTTGGGGAAAAAGAGGGTAATAACGTATTTTAATGACGCAATCTTCTCCAACATGATGGTGCACCCATGCGTATTAGAAAATGAGTTGGGGCTCTGTTGATAGTGTTGTTGATAGTGTCAACACACCATCACATCAGTTGGTTTCTAACTAGAAGGTAATGATGAAATGTCAATCGGGTAAAACCGCCATTTGTTTCAGAGCCTTAGCGAAACTGTCATAGTTAACCGTTAGATGAATTTTTTGACGTTCATAATCAAATTTGAATACTTTGTTTTCGAACTTTAGTTCCGAAAATATAATTCAGCTTAACCATGAAAAATTGCACATAAATCAAAAGAACATGATTATGACATTAACATTAAAAATCAAAACTATTGTAAGTGTGACGACAGGGGTTTGGGTTCCATAACAGAATCATTCTGAAAAGTATGCAGTACAACTATACTTAACAGATCACTGGATTGATTGACAAGGGAAGCACAGATGGAAGAAAGAATGCTGCCGGATTCAGTGGCATTTAGTTATCTTGAAAGTAGAGCATGATCACCCTACCGTAACAAATAGCGACACCAGCTTCCCGAGACTGGGGTTACCATTAGGGGACAGACTGAATGGGGTGATAATCCTCAGTCTAGTCTCTTGATTTTATGCATTCGTACACATATATTCGGGCAAAAACTTATAAAAATAAGATATTTTTCAATTTGTTAAAGATATAGTGGGGGTACAATAGGGGTGCGAAGAATTTTCAAGGGTGGCAAATAGGCATCGATTTCGGAGAGTCTACATAGACAATCTTATTTTTTTGGAACAACACACTACTAAGACGGTGACTCTGTTGTTGGACAGGATTGTCTCTCAGATCATTCTTCAACCTATTAGAATTTACTTTATTGAATTTGAGCTCCTAGCGCAACTAAAATTAGTATGGGTGTCGCTAGCGAGGCAGAGCATGCTCACCCATACCCATCTGGAATATCGGATACTGCGACTGGATTACTAAACTCAACTCTCATAGATAATATTGTTTATTTCACCAAGCATAGCTGGTGGGTGTAATTAAATTGACATTGCATTGAGAAATAAATCGTAAAGGTTATGTCCGTTATCTAGAACTAACAATCATTGTTTTGCTGAACGATAATATAATTTGAACCGTATTTGTGATCATGGGCAGTAAGACTATAATAGTACATAGCTTTATAGTTTTACTATTGTTCACGATTTGTTGTATTTGTTGTATCTAAAAGTTATGTGTCAGTTCGCTCTACATGTTATTCATGGTATTAGAAGCCATTAAAAACTCTTCGACCACTATTATGAAAATAATAGAAACCACTTATAAATCTGTTACCTATTCAAACAGATGTTAATAAACACTTCATCCTCTGGGTATATCGGTTTTATTTATATTGTGATACAGTCAATCGATGAACTGTCTGATTTAAATGCAGACACGTTTCGTGTGTTTTTGAAGATGACTACACTGTCTTGCCATTCAGGGCATCTTCACAATGTCAGGATATTAACAACTTCGTTTCATACCTTGACAGCAAAAGGTACCTTTTTTTGTATCACGAAAGTTTGTAAATGTTTGACTGGATCGTACGCTTGTAGAATCCCCAAAAGAAAGTATATAAATAATAAGCTATAAAATTTGTCTGTCAAGGGCTCTGATTGACTGTACTGTTAACGTACCATCCAATCAAATCAAACTTCCGGGATGGAAGAAAGGTAGCTATTGTAGTTAATGTATAAGACGAAGTTCGTAATAACTTGACTTTGAGCATTCAGGGTCAATTCACCTCAATAGTGAGAGCAATTCTGTTATGTATGGACGAAACTCCAAAATGTAAATTGTAAGCTTTTCTTTCAGACATGATATGCTTATCTTCAGTATTATTTACCTTCTATGACATGAATATCAACCCACACTATCACTATGACTCTAATACTAAACCAATTTACCTGATACCAGTTCCGTTTGCAGCATCAAAGATACTCTGGCTTATAGCCCAGGGGTAAAACTGAGGATGTAGAATCAATTCATAGCTTGTATTAAAATATTGCTCAACCTTGATGTCATCTGGGGGTTCTATGATCCATCTTATATCAATACCTGAAAATACACATTACATGGATTTTACGTCCCACGGTGAAAACGAGTTATCTCATGAAAAATGAGAAGAAATTACGGGACAGGACAGGACCCACTTTGATTTTCACGGATTAAAACTTATTTCGTCGCTTGCACATTGGCTAAAATTATTGTCACTACTGGTAAATGCATCAGCCATAAAACACAAGAGGCACTACTGGAGCCGGATGTTTTTAAGGAGGGTATCTCCCGTTAGATACCACTCTGCGTATTCACGGCAATAACAGGCATCGTCTCACGTTCAGGAAATGAAATGAAATAAATGGAGTTTAACGTCCTACTTTTCTGTACCATGTGGACTAATGAAGAGATATAGAACTGTTAATATTGGTAACTGTCAAGAACTGAAACTTACCCGGACAGGAAGAGAAGGGTATTGGACTAGACGCAGAGGCTGTGTACGGCCAACAATGATAGTTTACATTGGTTAAATCATGCCACGTGGTAACCTGTCTTAAAATCAACTGAAAATTAAAATATTTGTATTAAAAGTAAGGTTAGTATAGAGTTATAGAGTTAATACAGTATCGTCCAATCTGAGTAAAATGAACATCTGGATGTTCGTTATGTTTTTTCTGTTACAATCCATGTTCTTGCCAGATTGTTATGCATCTCTTGTTCTGGGTTATTTAATATTCATCCAATCAAATGCTTTATTCAATCACAAAATTTATTTTTTCCCTATGGCTTGCATTATCTTAACAGTTAACTTAAGTTATGAACGGAGGAAAGGCAAATGGAAACAAGTTCGGATTTTATCAAGCGTTTGAAATAGATCAATGGTACCACTGACGTGACAATTGGTAATTCCCTCGCTATGCAATAATTCTGTTCCGGAAATAAAAATCATCATATATTTGGTCTTCCCAGCTTTTAGCACAGACTGTCTTGCCTAGATTCTCTGATCTATAAATAAGTGTTTATGGACTCTACTTACTAGCTAATGATATCGTTCCGGTCTAAAATAATACGATACTGATTATATGAGAATTAGGAAAGTATTCGTGATACAACTATCCATTATTCAGTTTACCAACTGATAGAGCTTTATAATACCTACATAAGTTTATGTCAATTTTCAAAAAGCAACTTCCAGCGTCTGGTTCCTGTACATTAAAATGCTAATGAAACTTGGTAATGGATTAGTTGGTATCAGGAACAATACGTCATGTAGTTTAATCCAAATCAAAAGACTAACCTAATTCTAGCAGAGCATTTGATTTGTTGAATAATATATGACTCAAAACATGAGATGTATAACAATCTTGTCAGATCATGAATGACAAGTGAAGTCATCCTCAGATAAAACACGAAGAAAAATATCAAGATTTACAAATTAATCAGATTGTTTGAACGGCGATGATTTTAAAATAATAATCTCATTGATTTCAAAATTAATTGTCCCTGCTTTTTTTTTTATCCGACAAAGATATCGATTGCGTTTTAAAATTTGACATTCCTGATATCAGCATTTTAATTGTTTTAATAAATTGTTATGATTTTGTTCAGTGTTTTAATATTTCGTTACGATTTGCTCTGTGTTTTAATGTTTTGATACGATTTTGCTTTGTGTTTTAATATTTCGTTACGATTTTGCTTTGTGTTTTAATATTGCGTTACGATTTTGCTTTGTGTTTTAATATTGCGTTACGATTTTGTTCTGTGTTTTAATATTTCGATACGATTTTGCTTTGTGTTTTAATATTTCGTTATGATTTTGTTCTGTGTTGTAATATTTTGTTACCTTTTTGTTCTGTGTTTTAATATTTCGATACGATTTTGCTTTGTGTTGTAATATTTTGTTACGATTTTGTTCTGTGTTTTAATATTTCGATACGAATTTGCTTTGTGTTTTAATATTTTGTTACGATTTTGTTCAGTGTTTTAATATTTCGATACGATTTTGCTTTGTTTTTTAATATTTTGTTACGATTTTGTTCTGTGTTTTAATATTTCGTTACGTTTTTGCTTTGTGTTTTAATATTTCGTTACGATTTTGCTTTGTGTTTTAATATTGCGTTACGATTTTTTTCTTTGTTTTAATATTTTGTTACGATTTATCTGCAATGTCTTTTGATATTTCGTTACGATTTATCTGCAATGTCTTTTGATATTTCGTTATATTTTCTGTATCCAAATTTAAAATGACAGATTCGCCATCCGTTTGACCAATTGTACTTTAGTCTCAGAAACGGGATTTCTTTTTAGAAAGCGAAACTCCTCGTTTGAGGTATTCTCGAAGGAATTAATGAAATTTTTATACAATTCTAGAACGCGTATTTCCGAAGAATATTTACATATATTCAAGACCCAAATCAACTCCCGAAATTGCGAACAGTCTGGTCTGTTTAAATATCATTTCAGTACGATTTTTTCTCTAATATCATGTTTCGTTACAACTGTTACTGTCTCTGATCTAGTTAGTTTATGATCGATGGAATAAAGGTAACAGTGTAGACAATGGCCTGTGATGTTTTAATTAGTTGACGAACACTGTTATTTATGTTATCAATGTTCTTTGTTTATCAACCTAATCAACGATATACACTGATAGAATATAAATTAATGACTAGGGGCTTATTGGGAGCAACATCAAAACTTGGGAATCTCGGATATATATATGTTTAACGTAATGCAAAGCAAGAATATATCTCTATGATCAACACATAGATTTTTGACGTTTGGAAATGCTGGAACAGCCATGACCGGTAGTGACAAACGTACACCATGTCACAAAGCATCATTTTCCCGTATGTACCCCATCTCTAATTATAACCAGGTTGTATACCTAGATCCATGGACAGTTGCAATCGATTTGAAAGAGAATAATGGTTAATGTAGATTTCAATGCAAATTCATTGCCATCCACAATCGTTAACCCAATTTAGTTTTAACATTTAATTGTGGCAAGGTTTATGATTGTGCAACTGGAAAGATAGGGGCTGACGGTGACCTCTTCGTGGACATATATAGTGCCAAAAAAGTTGGGCATGCAACTTCCGTTTTCTTCAATGATTGATCGTGGTACAACGTATTCAGAGTATATGATTGATGATTAAACATGATACTTCGACAGGATGTTCGTTATTATATATATGATATGATATGATATTACGTGTTATTTTATTAGTTATAATACGACAATAAACAATAAATAACAATATTTATTGTTTCGTTGTTTATATACGTCAACTATAATAGATAACTCGCTCAGTTAATAATATATCAGTAATTCTCTAGGGTAATAACAAGTTTTGATTTTCAATGAAGTAATTTTTAATATCATAATATATATTGACAGTTTCTTTATGTTTTAGAGAAGGCTATTATTCAATCCATCATATTATTATAGTTACAATGACAATATTTGACTCTGTGTAATGAAGTTGAAAGAGCAAGTTCTTTGATGGATGTTTCGTCAAAAGAATGTTTCTGTGTCAATTGGTCGCGATAGGCACTTTTCATAATTATTTGGCCCAGTTTCTTTCTCGCAAAATTATAGCAATAAATCCGTTTTTTATATCAACAAACCTGTTACTGGTTTCTGGCCTCCATGTCTCTTTGATCAGTGGCATATCAAGGATTTCATTGACGGTGGGCTCCCCTTTGCTTGTGGGGGTTAGTGGAGGCCTCCCCCTGGATAATCTAGGAAGGCAGAGAATGGATCATCCTTTTTTTAGAATTTGAATTTTGTTAATGAGAGTAAAATAAAGAGAGTTTTTTTATAGCCCGAGAGAGAGGGGGTGGGGGGTGTTTTGTGACTTTTGTCAATGAGTAAGGCAGCTTGGTACCAGAACAAATTAGATAGTATTTAAAATCTATGAGATTGAATAGAGTGAAACGTTTGCTTATGATGATTGCTTTAAGCTTTATCCCATAAGTGTAAAATAATTGTTATTTCTGTAGCTTGTTTTCAACAAAGAAATAAAATCCCAGTAAGTTCTGTATGCCTACCGATAGTTTTAGAACATTTAGAACGTCGGAGATTACCGCCTCATACATAGAAATCAGAAGTGACTTGTATGTTAATTTACTATAAAAGTATGAAAGATGTAGACGAGTGAGACGATACATTGACATCAACAGCTCTTACCTGGAATATAAGTATAATTCTATACATTTTACATCCATTGTTAACACATTCATTCATTGTGTTGATTATTCAGAAGCTAATCCTCTGTATGCACTATACATATCTTCTAATCATAGGTCGAAGATGTACACAATGGTACTTGCTGAGGGTTTGTAGTCCTTTGCGTTTTCATTTTTCATTCGCAAATATTAAGCGGACACACTTAGGGTCAAACGTTTGTAATTGTATATATGACACGGTGTCCAGTGCTCTTGATCTAGGCTATAAAGTTAACTATTGAAACTATATTTGGGGATACTCCTAATGTTAATCAACGAATATTTAATTGTTGCACTATTCCAGAGATTGCGTTAATAAATGTACATAACAGTTATTGTTTTCTCTCAGTAAGAAGCAGTTTGTGTATGTGACTCAATAACTGTCCAGTGAGCTCAGTTATATTGAAAGACCTCTGAGAAAACACAAGTTAGATGCCCCTCATAACAAAATTCTTAATTCCAATACCCGTTCCGAAAAATTACGCGATGCTTGGGATTTGGATAAAGACATTTCACATGAAATTATAATCATAAATCATAAATTGGACAACCGTGCTGTCCTGTAATTCAATGAAAGACCTCGAGAAAACACTAAGTTAAAACACGATATATTCTACTAATCCAACCTTAAATCTTTATTTCAATGAAATACATGGAAAATAACTTCCGATGTTAGCTTGATGCGTGGAAATCAGGGATAGATACTTCCAACTGAATATTGCTTCTTGATCATAAATTGGAAAAGTGTCCCGTCTTGTTATGTTAACTGTCCAGTCCTATGTTCGGAACTCGGGAAATCACTAAGACATTAACTGGATAGCTATATCCAATCCTAGCTCACTCAAGTCCCAATCATCAATCTTATTTAAAGGGATAGAGTCGCCATTTTCATGGGTAAATCGTACCTGGGTCTCAAAAACGAGCAAAGTTCGGCTTAACTAATCATTAATAATGTTCGCAGCTTACCGTCGAAATTTTAGCCTTCCTATTCACGTGTATCCCAAATAATCAAGGTTTGAAAGTGACGCGTCGTCTTACTCGGAGTCTCCATTTTGAAGAACTGTGGCCTTTAAATATACAATAGTACCTGATGAGTGTATTAACAACACACAAAGTAAAGATAGATTTACTGAATCAATCATACTCGCTGCGTTCGATTTCTGACTCCATTAGATATTCTATGTTACCAAGTATTATTTCTATTGTTGAAAGGTATTGTCATAGGCGTACGGACCAAAGGCCTGTTGGGGGAGGGGGGATCAGACTGGTCTGTCCGAATTTTACCTGCATTTTTCTTTGTTATCGGATTTTTGCCCGATATTTTTTCGGTTCGGATTCAAATATTGTTTGGGGATCTTGATCTGCATTGACAAGGTGCTGCACCTTAGATGTATTTGATGAGGCCAAACCAGGCAATTAAAACCATTCTCACATAATAAAAACTTTCAAATTTCTTCCTGCTCTCCAGGTCCACATAGAACCATTGTTTTACAGTTTGCATCTACCATCTTTTGTATTGTAGTCAGGTGATCTTTCCGCATTTGTGTTAACTTTGTGAAATAGTTATATTTTCGCGATTGTAGTCTGTATGACTTTGTTTTAATTGTATACATATTATCACAGGCGTAGAAGACACCCCTCCACAGACTCGCCCCTTCGGAGCTTGTATTCGTGCTTCGCCTGACATCTCAACCTTTTAAAATTTTCAGGCAAACCAGTCATTACGAAATGTTGTGTTTGCAATAATATTTCTTATCATAATATAACATTTGTGATCAGTTCCCTCCCTTGAAATATTGTAATTGAATAAATCTAGTTTTATCAGTTACAAAGTGTAGTCGTTTGACAAGATTCTTCTTAAGACTGGTATCCAAAAGCTTAGCTCTGTGTAGTGCAAGTGGTCTGTTGTACAGGAGATCTAAATGGAAGAGGGTCTGTCCAATTGCCTTTCGTGTTCTGGTGGAATTCATTATTCATTATTTGAAGAAATTGTTTGTCTTCTCATCATCCTTGGGTGTTAGCTTGCTGTTCAGGAAGTTCTATAACTGATGTTTTCTCAGTTGTAAGCTGTTCTGACAATGTTCTAAAATGTGTTGCGACCATTTGTTAAGGTATGTGTTATGTTGACGTTTATTACTGTTGGTCTGTGAGTTTGGTTATATATGTTACTTCCCTTGAACAGTCAATTCAAAGGAGCATTAATAATAATTAATTTATAAAGATCCCTGGACTTGACTGATAATTTTAAAAGTTCAAGGGACGTAACTGATACAAATATATTTATTCAATTACAACTTAAATAACAAAAAATCAACATTTTATAAAATTCAGTATTTTTTGATTGGATAAATTTTAAAATCAATTTTTAGTGATTAACCAATCAGGTGATTGCAGCAGTAAAACCATCTTAAACTAAGTTTTCGATAACAAGGCTACAGGTTTCCTGTAAAAGATTCTTGAGTAAAAATATTACCAATTTTCATATCGGCATCGATAAAAGAGTAAAAAGAATAAATTTTAGTTTATAAAGCTCAAACTATATTATATAAGATTAAAATTTAAAAATAATAATCACTATATTAGGATAAGAAATTAGGCGAAAAAGATTAGCGTGCCACTCTGTCTCAATACTAAAATGTAGGCAGGTGGAAATGGTTATTGGTTTCACAAATTGGGCCTCAAATGGGCAACACAAATCAGCGCACAGTCCTATACACGTAATAAAGGAATGCACTATATTTCAAAATATTTGAGGTAGCGCAATGTGGGAAATATGACACAAGCACTATGTAACACAACACAAATAGGATGACACAGAAAATGCCAAAAGAATCACTGAGATAAAAACAAGTCCCTCTTTTCATTCTTCTTCTCACCAGTCTTCTCTTTTTGACTTTCACTTCTATTAAACATTCTCTTATCATACTTCCATTTCCATCTTTTACTACATCAACCATCAGCTAAACAAGTATCATGATGATGACAATGATTACGGTTCAAACCACCTGAGCCTAAATATACACGGACACCATTCTCCTTTTCAAATTTTGTAACTTCTCTTTGGTAACTAGCTGCGGTCGGAATGGGCACTAAAATGGTGTTTGGTCTCTCCAATTCATGTCGTTCATGTCCAAAATAGACATGCACATTGAAGAAATACACACAATTAATCAGAAACAATTATACAAGCAATATAAAACAGTAAATATGTCAATTTGGCAGATTTAAATACAAATGTCTAAAACTGTAGATATTTGTTTTTGAGATGTACACTGAAATATTTTTATGAAATGATTTGGGTTTGTTCAAAACGACAAGAAAGCACGTTAAGATCGTTAAGATCCAAGTCTTTGGCTCAAACATTCAATAGCATTCTTCTGTATAAGCAATTCTTCTCTTACTCTTTGGTGATTTGCTTCGTTTCGCTCACGTTGTTTCTTCATCTCCTCGAACAGATTGGTAAATCTCTCTTCAAATTTACTATTTTGTTCTGAGAATAATCCTTGTACCTGGGCGACTAATGTTTTATTTCTCTCTTCAATTTTACTTTCTTGATTAAGGAATGCTGCTTGTACCTGGGCGACTAATGTTTTATTTCTCTCTTCAATTTTACTTTCTTGATTAAGGAATGCTGCTTGTGCCTGGGCGACTAATGTTTTATTTCTCTCTTCAATTTTACTTTCTTGATTAAGGAATGCTGCTTGTACCTGGGCGACTAATGTTTTATTTCTCTCTTCAATTTTACTTTCTTGATTAAGGAATGCTGCTTGTGCCTGGGCGACTAATGTTTTATTTCTCTCTTCAATTTTACTTTCTTGATTAAGGAATGCTGCTTGTACCTGGGCGACTAATGTTTTATTTCTCTCTTCAATTTTACTTTCTTGATTAAGGAATGCTGCTTGTACCTGGGCGACTAATGTTTTATTTCTCTCTTCAATTTTACTTTCTTGATTATGGAATGCTGCTTGTACCTGGGCGACTAATGTTTTATTTCTCTCTTCAATTTTACTTTCTTGATTAAGGAATGCTGCTTGTACCTGGGCGACTAATGTTTTATTTCTCTCTTCAATTTTACTTTCTTGATTAAGGAATGCTGCTTGTACCTGGGCGCCTAATGTTTTATTTCTCTCTTCAATTTTACTTTCTTGATTAAGGAATGCTGCTTGTACCTGGGCGACTAATGTTTTATTTCTCTCTTCAATTTTACTTTCTTGATTAAGGAATGCTGCTTGTACCTGGGCGCCTAATGTTTTATTTCTCTCTTCAATTTTACTTTCTTGATTAAGGAATGCTGCTTGTACCTGGGCGCCTAATGTTTTATTTCTCTCTTCAATTTTACTTTCTTGATTAAGGAATGCTGCTTGTACCTGGGCGACTAATGTTTTATTTCTCTCTTCAATTTTACTTTCTTGATTAAGGATTGCTGCTTGTACCTGGGCGACTAATGTTTTATTTCTCTCTTCAATTTTACTTTCTTGATTAAGGAATGCTGCTTGTACCTGGGCGACTAATGTTTTATTTCTCTCTTCAATTTTACTTTCTTGATTAAGGAATGCTACTTGTACCTGGGCGACTAATGTTTTATTTCTCTCTTCAATTTTACTTTCTTGATTAAGGAATGCTGCTTGTACCTGGGCGACTAATGTTTTATTTCTCTCTTCAATTTTACTTTCTTGATTAAGGAATGCTACTTGTACCTGGGCGACTAATGTTTTATTTCTCTCTTCAATTTTACTTTCTTGATTAAGGAATGCTGCTTGTACCTGGGCGACTAATGTTTTATTTCCCTCTTCAATTTTACTTTCTTGATTAAGGAATGCTGCTTGTACCTGGGCGTTTTGTTTCTCGATTATTTTAGTCATCTCCTCTCTTGTCTGGATGACTTCCCATAGCATTTGATCTATTTCCTCAGACACATTCTCAGTGGACCCGAGTGGGTTTTGTACTAGTTGATCCACCATATTATGTCAATAAGTTATCACCAAATAACAAATTCTCTGACTACCCTGTAAAATATATATATAAAAGAGATATATTTTGAAAGTGCACAAGTGTCCAATGCTTTTAAATATTTTTGGAGGATAATTTCATATTATTTATATAATCGATATTTTTTTAAAATTTTGATTAGACCTACTTTAATTATCAACATTAATACGTGTTTTGATTAATGTATTTTCATTGTGATCCTAAAAATGCATTACCTTAAGGTCTCGATCCAACTCCTCCCCATCCTAGGTCTAAACAACCCCTGATTCGAGAAAGACGCTTCCTTTTATACACTGAAAGGCTAAAGAACTTTTCACTTGTGAAAATACTGAAAATTATTTACAGACACTGTTTCTGACATCTGTAGTCAACAAATTTAAATTTAACATTCCACTGATCCTTTTTGTTTCCGTAAAACCCACTTCACATTTGTGTTCAAAATGGGGTGGTTTACCCAAAAGCAGATTACAAAAGTGAATTGAGACCCAGTCGCTGAAACGTTTCGTTTGCATTCGTCATTTCGATTCAGCAGCCATGCCAAGATTATCAGGAAATGAGAGACAACAAGCGATAGAAAGACTGCAAGCGGGCCGGACTATACAAAACCATTCAACGTCAACGTCGCCGGCCGCGTATAGTGATAATCCAAATGTTACCATTCTAAGACAAGATTGGTAGGCCTACGTGATATGCTAACATCTGCAAAACCGAACGACCACTAAACAGCTGGAGAAACCATTGGCAACAGCCCGCGTGTCATCTGTGACCGTACAGTCCGACGTCGCCTTACTACCAATATCTGCTCATTGATCGATCCTGAGAGATCATCATAGACAGGCAAGGCAGCATCAAACTTGGTGTCAACATCAATGGAGTCTCAACGATAGATGTCAGAGTCAGGGTCTGGTGAAGGGACGAACGTTATACTGATGCTTGTGTTATAGACCTTTTTAGAATATTGGTACAGACAGAGATAATAGAATCATAGCTCTTCGCAACGCTGACCCCACATCGACACTTTTTTGACCGTCGCCTAAACCGCACTTTGCAGGAAGACAACGCCGACTCAACTAAGTACGCCCATTGCCGACAACTGCAGAAGAACTGTCGGTAAAGTGTCTGGGGACCAACCCACGTAAAAGTCGTTTTAAACAGTAAATTAAATGGTGTGAAACACAGAATTTCTCTGATAACTAAGTTTGTTATTTCAAATTTAAAAAAAAGAGTAATTGAAACGTAGAAGAAATGTGGCTCAGCAACGACATTGCACTTCCACAAGACCCAATATATTAATGAGCAAATTTTCTTGATACCATCTGATAAGGTTTCTTGCTAGATAGAGGAATTTGTTGCTTATTTTAGACTGTAATTTCAGCCTTGATAAATTTTGAAATATTATGTTGTTGTCTCCTATTGATTTTGAATTAAGTTATTATTAATCCAGTTTATTCTTCCAAAGAATCGTTCAGTATAATACTAATAATATGAATGTATCAAACGGTACTACTAACAACCACATTTATACTTATCATGAAATAACTTTATGAATATTTTATCCAGGTGTCTAGTATAATAATAATAATATGAATGTATCATAGTGAAAGAATGGCCTGTGGCCCCCATGGAAAGTTTTGTGGCCCCTGTGCGCCCCCCTCACCTAATACTTCATAGTAACGCTACTGGGATGTGAATGAAATTTTTAAAAAAAATTACCTTTCAGGTTCTATTTCAAGCAGAATAATATTCTGTATAAAACTTACCTAGAGAAGTAATTCTTCAGACAACGTTCAGCTGCTCTTTCAAATATTCTTATGACGGGTTTGCTCATATTTATTACTTACATTTGTTGCAACAACAAAAGCATTTTAATAGGAATAATAGGAAAAAACATATTACAACAGAGTTTTGAAAAACAATTTTTTTAATTTTTACAACTAATATTCATATATCTATTGACCATTGTCATATTTCCAACTCATTGTTCCACAGGGGGGGGGGGGGAACCGGGACATCACCAGCAGATTGTCTCTATTGTGGTTTGTAATTTCCAAGTACATGTTATCCGAGTGTAAAGAAAATACCACCTTTGAAGTTTAGGTTTATCCAGATGATGGGAGATGTCGAAACGATGGCCGTTAATTCTTTCTCTCAAAGAGTTTTTAGTTTCGCCTAAGTGACCGCAGGAAATTTGTCTTGACCTCCATCTAGGCCTGTATCACCTTAAAAAGTTTGTAAACTTTGAAGGGAAGTGTGAAGAATAATAAATGAAAACCATCAACTCTGTTTTTGAACGAATCTTAGACTTTTCATAACTTTTAAATTACTAGTTCTGATTGGTTCAATGTGTTGTACAAAGTTAATAATGATATCATATGACTGAAAACAGTTTCCATACAACATTAAGGTGTGTATTAACGACCAACGTGTCTTTAAACATAATCTATTCACAGATTCTAATTAAGGGCGTGTTGCAAAGAGTCTTCTAAGTCATACGAAACTACGTATGTTTCTTACATGGAAATAACACACAACCATTTTGAATCTCTTCCTCGGCTTACTAATTTGAATTTTGATAAAGGTAATAATATTTCAACTAAGCCTTCAATTCACCTTTAAAGGCTTAGAAATAGTTGTAAATGTGATTTGAAGGCTTTAAGTAAGTTCTATTTAATAACCTACAGTTATAAGAAGTGAGCAAGACAAAAAACATGACGTCTTTTTATAACAAGAACTTCAGTGAACAATGAATGCATGCAGTTATGTTTTCAACAACTTGCTATCCAAGTACACGATCACAACATGTTATATGATCAAAAATGGAATCGAACAGGCTCATTTTAATGCTTTTTTTAATGCTTTTTCAAATGATATTTATATCTGCATGACTTATCCAAACACGAATGATGTACGTCGAATTGTCACGTCGATATGCAGAAGTTCAAATTGAAACCGAGACAACTGAACATTGTTTGCATATAGAGAAACAGAGATGAATGTAGTTTTTAATTGTTGTTTCTCTAAACTAGCCCTATTTTTCCAAGGCCTAAATTTCGGACATGAAAATTATACTTTAAATATCAAATTGAAATGAGATAGGTGTAGGTCTAGGTTACGATCATTGTCTATTGATGAATAGGGTGGATATATTTGTATTCACTTGGTTTATGACGCCAAAGTCCGGAGAGGGTAATATTTCATTTCATTTATCATGAGAGCGAAATTAAAAAGAGCAATTTCATTTACTTTAATTTCATTTTTTAGGGATTACATCGATTGTGGTAAAATATTACCTGTAAATCGGTATGGCAGTGGTTTCGTCACAAATTATCCTAAAAACAAGGGCTCTCATTGATGAGGCATTTAGGGGAGTGGGCCATTGGGCTTGCCCCCTCAGGCCTATGAAGGGTCAATGGATACTTAATAAAACTTCATGAGAAGTTTGCGAAAATACTGTCAATGTGATGAAAGAAGGAGAAAAAGAGACGACTGACAATTGTACTTTATCAAAGTCAATCCATTGTTTCCATTGATGACCTATGATCAACATAACACAATATAAAAACCGAACAATTCTTTCCACGTGTTGTACCAAGTTTGAGAATCTACATTCTACATGTATTGTCACGTTGATAGTCCGTAATTTCATTTATAAATCATTAGTGCTCTTTTGCCAAATGAGGATTTTCGCTGACACGAGTTATTAAAGGGCCTTTGGTGCCCTTTATTTTGCGGCACTGGACCTTGTCTAAGGGAAAAAACATGTTTTGCTCTTGTCTTGTAATCCCCATGTGCTCGAATGTCATCAATATTTTATTGATGTCGACTATCGACCAAGGGGAAGTAAATTATACTACAAACAACAATAAATTAAATTTAATTACATTTGACTACAGGAATCTATAACAAACAAAATATCGTATAAAAAACATTTTTTAAGAATAAGTTTCCCATATGACATTCTACAGCTCAAATATTATCGAGTGAAGGTGAAATATTTTTTATAAAACTTGATATTCATATATAAAAATAATCACTTAAAATATGATAATTGGATAATTTATCAAACATATTCTCTCTTTAAACTTTCAAACAATTCCGTGTCTAACCAAGACGTCTTTTATCACTTGGTTTCCACTTTCAACTCCCTTCACGCGTTCTTCAATTTTCTGAAGCTCTGTATCATAATGACTTGTTTTTGTGTTAATATGTGTCACCAGACTGGAAAGCTTCGTGTTTATCTCGTCGATTTTTCTATTTTGATCCACGTTTTGTTGATATAACATCTTCATTAACGCGTATAATTCGTCGCCCTGCTTTTCAGATCTTGCATCCTGCTTTTCAGATCTTTCGATTAACTTATCAACCTTCTGGTTTAATTCCTCAGTCATCTTTGAGTTTAAAGTATATTCTCTTTCTTCGCTGGAAAATATACAAAAGGTTTTATCTTCTTGACGCAATATTTTGCTTATTTTCGATGTCAAAGAGAGCACTTGTTAATCTTTTTTCATCAAAAATTTCAAGAAGGCAATTGCTGGTCACGTTACAATATTGTTGCAATAATTCTTATATAAATCTTATTATTTACAAGACTGTTTTATTCCATCCTCATTAACGAATGCCAGTCTAACTTTTCCCTTTTGCAGCTCTATAGAGGTTACAGTGGCGTTTCGCCCCCAATTTCAATTTTAATTATCATTTTTCACAGTGAAAGAATGGCCTAAGGCCCCACTGGAAAGTTTGTGGCCCCTGTTCGACTCCCTCTCTTAATGCTCCTTATATTTTCCTAAGCAGCTCTATAGAGGTGAACTAAATTCAAAAATATTTACCTTTTAGCTTTTATTTCCAGCAGAATAATTATGTTTAATATAAATTAAATATTTCTTCCCAGCAAGTAATTCTTCAGAGAACGTTCTGTTGCTCTTTCAATATTTGAATATCCGCTTTACTAATTTATGTTATTTATATGGGATTAACTATTCAGAATGTATGTTTTGAAATTTGAATACAGGGCAGGTTTATACTGCTCTACATTTTAATTATTTGCGTATCGTTATATATATTCTGATTACACCATGCTATGATTAATTAAGTGCAGGAATAAGAATATTTGTTTGTGAACACAATAGAGACAACAGTATTGTACAAGTTTTACAATGATATCATATGACTGCAGACAGTTTACCTATATGAAGGTGTGTATTCACGACCATTGATTCTATTCAGAGTTGTGTTGCTTAAACCCTTTTGAAATAATTAAAATGAAACCTCTTTTCATGTTGTTGAACATTTTAAGATGTGAGATTTCACATACATTAGAAAGCTGTTTATACATCAGCCATATTGAATCCGGAACAAGCCTCTAAAAGCAATCAAACATAAAAAATCCTTAAATATACATGTAATATACATGTAAATAAATATGTATTAAAGTGCAGTTTTTTCCAAAACTATCTAATGTTTTAAGAAGGATAAACAGACCGTAGCCAGACTTGGTTGTTAGGAGAGGCAAATAATATAATATGAATTTATATGAATAATATAATATGGTTTTTAATAATATATATCCGGAGAGGCAATGATGTATGGTGTTTAGTTGCAGTAGTGGAACTAATCAGTTGTCAATTTTTTTAAATCCATGTGTGTACAAAATTATCAGCGTTTGAAAGTTAATAAGACGACTCGTCTTTCATTCATATTTAGAAAAGACATGTATGAAAATAGAACAAAATTTTGAAAATAAAAAAATAAATAATTTTCTACTGAGATAAAATATTAAAGTAGAATCTTAAATATTTTGTCAACAACGTAACTCAGATTCTATTTCAACATTTTTATATCGCATCAATATTATTCATGTTATGAAAGATCACGTGTTTCTCATTATAAGAGGTATGTAAACCGATAGATAAAAAATGGTAGATATCAAGTTTTAGCATGTTATGAAAGTTAACATTGTATTTCGATCCAATACATATACAGGTATAATTTAACAATGTGATAAATATTAAAGAGAGCAATCTTGTTCTTAAATAATTCTATTAATGGGCAAAACATCTATATATATCAAATAATAAACGATTCTTTATAAATTATATTAGCGCAATGGAAGAATCCACTCTTATTTTGATAGAAGATATTATAACTCCGACGTGTTTTGGGAGTTGTCGCACGGAACAGGGATACATCGGTTCATTCCTCGTAGTGTGGCCTCTCCAGCATGCTATTGGGAAAATATATATTCAACTCGGCCAACCTGTTATAGGGAGGAAAGTGTGTTTATTTTGACATTACCTATGATCGAATAACAAATTTAAATTGATCGCTGATAGCATAGTTTTGGCAAAATACCAAATTTAACTTAATTGAGATAAATTGGTGTTGTTTATAAGGGGAATATGGCGCAACAGAGGACTTACTATAGAGGGGTTTAACACACAAGTATAACATAAAATCAACACAGACGTCACTTTGTTAGCAGCAAAATGCTAAAATACAAGATTATCATGAAAATATGGTATTTTTCTGTATTTTATGTTCTGCACTATATAAGGAATGGTGTTAGCTAAAAAAAACCTATAGGATCACTTTGTTCTGATTCGATAAAACAATAAGCAAAAGGGAGAAAACTCTTTCACAACATCACAGTCTAAGAAGGATTGAGTGATGAATGAAACGATGAATTATTTCAAGAAACATTGACACTGCTATCGGATGGTGGTGGGGCAGCGGCACTTGACCCTTCTGTCATCTACGACTATGTTGGTAGGTATACCAAATTTGCCTCACTAAATTAAAAATGAAAGCAGAAGAGAGATTGTGACTTATCGTCTTTATCCATGATTAAATATTCATTGAAATATATCAGTCTAGAATGAACGTATCTATACAGCACATTATCTGTGACACGTTTTAAAACTAATGATAGATTCCCAGTTATTCAGAGTCAAAAAAAAATCTTTGTTTCGTAGAAGGAAATTAAAGACCATATTTGGAAGTAGATCAGGAAATCTTTAGATTCTAATTTCTACTAAGTGACAAAATGATCGCATAATAGTTTCCATTTTTGCATAATCATCGTATTTTTAACTAAAACTTAAGTAACTTTATAACTTAAGTAAAACATTCACGTATTCTACTCTTTTTATATGAAATTGAGGTCGCTCATGTCCATCCGTCTAACTGGCTAATAATCGAATAAATACATAAATAATAATGCGGGCGCACATCTTTAAACTTAAAAAATATGATTAATTTGAGTGAAATAGAGTAAATTGTTCACTGGTTCAAAGAAAACGTCGAACAGCACATCTCCAATACGAACTGCTTTTTTCTGATAAATTATGGTAAGTTAGTACTAAAAGTTTTGAAAAACTCACAGACTAGCCTCTATCATCCAACCATTCTTTGTCTGGGCGTCAGAGACTAACCATTCTTTCCATTTCAGACAATACCTTTTATTTTCTCCATATTGTAATTGCAGGAACCAAGGCTTGGAGACAAATTCCTGAGTGGTTTATGGAAAGAATCAAAAGCTATTTTAAAACTGATGATATTAACCGTACCAACTCAGTTATTGGTGGCTCTCCCTTGTTCACTTTGTATTATGTTTGATGGACATGTTAGTGTTACAGCTTTGGATGCTGTGGGTATTGGATTGGCGTATATTTATTCCACGGCGTTTTCTACATCTATCGGACTAGGCATCACTTGTGAGGTTCTGTTTTCACAGGCACACGGAAGTACAAAACGCTCATCACTTGGTCTCGTCATTCAGCGCTGTCTCGTGATATCTTTTCTTCTCTTTTTATTGAATGGAGCTGTGGCAACCCATTCTTATATTCCTATCAAATTTCTTGGAAAAAGTGACCAAACGGTAGAGGAATATTATCATTTTATGCTTGCTGCAATTCCAGGATTTTGGGGATTTTCTATAATGTTGATCGAAATGAAATATTTACAATGTCAGAAAATTGTTAAACCGTGTGTTGTAATAGGAATTATTGTGAATATTTTACATGTTATGTTTGGTATACCTATAACATTGTGGACTAGTTTAGGTTCCATTGGAACTGGTTTATCATTCAGCCTCACCTATTGGTTGTGGGCGATTCTGCTTTTCGTTTATATCAAACTGAGTAAAGTTTATGTCGAAACATGGGTTCCATGGTCAACAGAATGCTTCAATTATTGGTGGCCGATTCTCAAAATAGCCATTCCAAATGCCTTCATGTTGGCTCTAGAGTTTAGTCTTTTCCAAGCATTTATTTTTCTCTCCGCTATGTTGGGTAGCTACTATTTATCTGTTTATCTCATTGCTGCTAATATTTCCGAATTCACTTTCAATATGTATCTTGGTTCATCCAGTGCTGTTATTATACAGATTGGAAACTATCTTGGAAATGGCGATTACAAAAATGCTAAATTGACAGCACAAGCGTCTGTGTTTCTAGTAGCATGTCAGTCAGTCGTAGATTCTTGTATAATATTAGCACTATGTTATGTGTTACCTTTTTTATACAGTAACGATAATCTAATTATTAGAGAATCCAGACCACAAATAATTCTAATGGCCATAGTTCATTTATTGACTGGAGTAGGATATATTTACGGAGGTCTTCTGAAAGCCTGCAGTAAACTGCAATTTGTTATGATAGCCCGTATCGTGTGTTGCGGAATTATTGGGCTTCCTGTAGCATACTGTCTCATGTTCTTGGCTAAGTTAAACTTGTATGGGGCCCTGATAGCCTTAAAAATATCATTTGTTTTACAATGTATTTTTACCTCCGTGAGAGCACATTTTTTAAATTGGAAACAAGAAGCATATTTAGCTGTAGAACAGGTTCATAAAACAACATCAATTGATAAAGACCATTATGAAGACTTGGTAGAAGATGTAAACTCTGTAAAAGAATCGACAAATTTGGTTTCAAAACCTCCAAATATAAACTGGAAGACACTGTTACAGAAAGGTTTCTTTATCGTGTTATTTACGGCTGTGTTTATAGGATCAATTTATATTAGTGTTTTAGATAGAGTTTAGGTTTTCGCTCACGCTTTCTTTACCCGGGATACTTAATTCTGTACCTCTCAGGTGTGATTGTGAATTATGCCAGATTGTCGTTTCTGTGTTCATACAACGCTATGGTCCAAATACAATTTTGAGCATATCAGAAGCGCGGTTCCCCAAAAACAAACATTACATGTGTACATAAGCGTAATTCATACTCAATCTCGAGCTTAAACAATAAGTACGAGAAACTAAAAATTTTGCGCACTCGTTTTTTTACTTTACTTCCCTATGTGAAAAGTTCATTAGCTGCCAATGTTTCAACAAAATGTTGTTCTGGATTTTTGGATTCGTGGTATGGTCCGGATCGTTAGCACTTGGTTTATTTATCAGATATCAAATTAAAGAAAGACAAACCTGTTTCTAATCATTTCAACTTGGACGACCATTTATCAGAAGATCTTATCCCAAGCCCCATTGAGCGCATAGTAATTGATCTGGCAGAAGATGAAACTAATAAATTCTGCCAAGCTATGGAAGCCCATTGGATTGAGACACTGAATACAGCAAGACGGATAGGACTAAATATTCAGCATAATGCAGGCATAGCACCCATTGTTCAATCGTTCAATCGAGCCCATTGAGTCTACAAGAGAAATTCCCGCATGTCTAAAGACGACGCATATTTAATAACCCAAAACTTAAATGACAACCTTGTTCATAGAAAACGTAAGACAATTGTTATCGCCCACTTGGCGAGTTATTATTTTATATAATTTCAGATCAGAACAGAAGAAATATACCTAATTTCTAATTGAAGTATTTGTTCTATCCTCGGCCTGTACATATGAGAGAATCAAACATACCCATCCCAGAAATCAAAACGTGTTTCCATGTGGTTTTTATGCAATTGTAACAATCGTTTGTTGTACGTTTACAATACAATTCATGTTATATATTGATTGATTCATTCAAATGGTTTTAAATAATTTGCAATGGTTTATCTCCCTTTAATTTTAAGATTATTCAACAATACGGCATGCGATAGGCCTACTTATAGCTTGGTTTCCATGGGTAAATCGATTTATACACCGAGTCCCAAGGAATTAAACCTTATTAGATATTTTTGAAGGAATTATGCGATTTATCGTACATTTCTAGTACTTCTGAAGACTATTTACATATATCCCATACTGAAATCCCCCCCCCCCCCCAAAATGGCCTTTTATCAGATTGGCTGTCGTGTTAGTAAGAACATTTTACTTGTCAGACATATATATCAACATTTTCCAGTCTTCGCTGTCTAGTCATGCAGTCAGTCTATGAGAGACATGCAGTCAGTCTATGGGAGACAAGCAGCCAGTCTATGAGAAAGATACACTCAGTCTATTAGAGACATGCAGTCAGTCTATTAGAGACATACAGTGAGTCTATGAGAGACATGCAGTGAGTCTATGAGAGACATGTAGTCAGTCTATGAGAGACATGTAGTCAGTCTATGAGAGAAATAATCAGTCTATGAAAGACATGCAGTCAGTCTATGAGAGACATGCAGTCATTCTTTGAGAGACATGCAGTAAGTCTAAAAGAGACATGCAGTCAGTCTATGAGAGACATGCAGCCAGCCTATGAAAGACATGCAATCAGTCTATGAGAGACATGCAGTCAGTCTATGAGAGGTATACACTCAGTCTATGAGAGACATGCAGTCAGTCTATGAGAGACATGCAGTCATTCTTTGAGAGACATACTGCCAGCCTATGAAAGACATGCAGACAGTCTATGAGAGACATGCAGTCAGTCTATGAGAGACATGCAGTCAGTCTATGAGAGGCATACACTCAGTCTATGAGAGAAATGCAGTCAGTCTATGAGAGACATGCAGTCAGTCTATAAGAGACATGCAGTCGTTCTTTGGGAGATATGCAGTCAGTCTATAAGAGACATGCAGTAAGTCTATGAGAGACATGCAGTAAGTCTATGAGAGACATACAGCCAGCCTATGAAAGACATGCAGTCAGTCTATTAGATTCATGCAGTCAGTCAATGAGAGACACGCAGTCAGTCTATGAGAGACATGCAGCCAGTCTATAAGAGATATACAGTCTATGAGAGACATGTAGTCAGTCTATGAGAGACATAATCAGTCTGTGAAAGACATGCAGTCAGTCTATGCGAGACATGTAGATACAGCCAGTCTATGATATACAGTCAGTCTTTGAGAGACATGAAGTCAGTCTATTAGAGATATACATTCAGTCTATGAGAGACATGCATTCAGTCTTTGAGAGAAAAACAGTCAGTCTATGAGAGACATGCAGTCAATCTATGAGAGACATGCAGTCAGTCTATGAGAGACATTAACTCAGTCTATGAGAGACATGCAGTCAGTCTATTAGAGACATGTAGTAAGTCTATGAGAGACATGCATTCAGTCTATTAGAGACATGCAGTCAGTCAAATCAATTGATACCTACAGTTTTATTCATTAAAATATACCAAATTAACTGAAAAAAACGTCTATGAATCTAAGAGAAGTATTACCACTGTGACTTCATTTCTCAGCAACGCTTGTTCTTCCCTTCTGCAATGTTTTGGCAACCACCTTCTGTGACGCGTCTGACACTTTGATATGTTCAATATTATATTTCGGCCACAGCGTTGTTTTAACACTGGAACGATCTAGCCTCCGACGACAATCTGTTCAAATTCACGAACACAGAAAGCATGAGCGAAAACCTAAACTCTATCTAAAACACTAATATAAATTGATCCTATAAACACAGCCGTAAATAACACGATAAAGAAACATTTCTGTAACACTGTCTTCCAGTTTATATTTGGAGGCTTTGAAACTAAATTTGTCGATTCCTTTACAGAGTTTACATCCTCTACCAAGTCTTCATAATGGTCTTTATCAATTGATGTTGTTTTATGAACCTGTTCTACAGCTAAATATGCTTCTTGTTTCCAATTTAAAAAATGTGCTCTCACGGAGGTAAAAATACATTGTAAAACAAATGATATTTTTAAGGCTATCAGGGCCCCATACAAGTTTAACTTAGCCAAGAACATGAGACAGTATGCTACAGGAAGCCCAATAATTCCGCAACACACGATACGGGCTATCATAACAAATTGCAGTTTACTGCAGGCTTTCAGAAGACCTCCGTAAATATATCCTACTCCAGTCAATAAATGAACTATGGCCATTAGAATTATTTGTGGTCTGGATTCTCTAATAATTAGATTATCGTTACTGTATAAAAAAGGTAACACATAACATAGTGCTAATATTATACAAGAATCTACGACTGACTGACATGCTACTAGAAACACAGACGCTTGTGCTGTCAATTTAGCATTTTTGTAATCGCCATTTCCAAGATAGTTTCCAATCTGTATAATAACAGCACTGGATGAACCAAGATACATATTGAAAGTGAATTCGGAAATATTAGCAGCAATGAGATAAACAGATAAATAGTAGCTACCCAACATAGCGGAGAGAAAAATAAATGCTTGGAAAAGACTAAACTCTAGAGCCAACATGAAGGCATTTGGAATGGATATTTTGAGAATCGGCCACCAATAATTGAAGCATTCTGTTGACCATGGAACCCATGTTTCGACATAAACTTTACTCAGTTTGATATAAACGAAAAGCAGAATCGCCCACAACCAATAGGTGAGGCTGAATGATAAACCAGTTCCAATGGAACCTAAACTAGTCCACAATGTTATAGGTATACCAAACATAACATGTAAAATATTCACAATAATTCCTATTACAACACACGGTTTAACAATTTTCTGACATTGTAAATATTTCATTTCGATCAACATTATAGAAAATCCCCAAAATCCTGGAATTGCAGCAAGCATAAAATGATAATATTCCTCTACCGTTTGGTCACTTTTTCCAAGAAATTTGATAGGAATATAAGAATGGGTTGCCACAGCTCCATTCAATAAAAAGAGAAGAAAAGATATCACGAGACAGCGCTGAATGACGAGACCAAGTGATGAGCGTTTTGTACTTCCGTGTGCCTGTGAAAACAGAACCTCACAAGTGATGCCTAGTCCGATAGATGTAGAAAACGCCGTGGAATAAATATACGCCAATCCAATACCCACAGCATCCAAAGCTGTAACACTAACATGTCCATCAAACATAATACAAAGCGAACAAGGGAGAGACACCAATAACTGAGTTGGTATGGTTAATATCATCAGTTTTAAAATAGCTTTTGATTCTGTCCATAAACCACTCAGGAAGATGTCTCCAATTCTTGGTTCCTGAAAGACAAAAAGTATTAGAAGGCGTTTCTTTTTCTCGCCATTTCTGCCCTTTTTTCCTTTAATTTTAAAACTTTCTGTTTTAACTCACCATAATGAAGTAGGAAAAAGCACTTAAAGGGATTTTAAAGAGGTTTTCTAGCCTATATCGTTGATAATTTGACTTCTATTTGGGACGTTCCTATACTAGTATCAGATTAGCTATTATCATTCCTTTGTTATTTCGGATTTTCAAAAAACAAAAACGTACTTATTTCTAAAACTTTAAGGTCCAACTCACCATAATATAGCAGAAAAGAAGCCGTTCGTAATAAAGATCTTATTTGCTGTTATACTTTTGCATTAACTATTAAATACGTTACTCTGCTAAACTCTTTCCACGTCAACTGATATTACAAAATTTATACCAATTAAATTTTATTCTATTGGTTTTAAAGATGGGTGCCGCAATTTCATTCATTAAAAAAGAACATGGTCTCACGTTTTCAACATAAAAGATATATGGATAAGAGTCTGTTCAAAGGCTAAAACCGAGGCTGACAACATGATAATTCTACTGACTAGCACCATAAAGGCGAAGAATATATTAAAAATGAAAATGAATGGAGTTTTACTTCCTACTTTTCTCCAGAATTTTTTTTATAGTTGATATATTCTTACCCTAAAAAGGTAACTACTGGGTAATATATAGATTTGTTTGCACTCGTGGAGATTATGTCGGTGACTGCATTTTT